GTCAAGTTCAAGGCCAGCCTGAGCAACTTAGCAGGGACCTATCTCAAAATGAAAAGGCCTGGGGATGTGGTTCAGTGGCAGAGCACCTTGGCTCAATCCTCTGGTTCGAAAAGACAAACCACTGAAGCTCACTCAAGAAGAACTAGACAGTGGGAATAGCCATAGATCAATAAAATGGAACTCCTAAGGGGCAAAAATTCTTAGAGAAAGTTCAAGGCTCAGGTGGTTTAACTGGTGAATTCTACGAGATATTTAAGGAATAAGTACTACAAATTCGCCACAAACTCTTCCAATTAAAGAGGAGGAAAGTTTCCATCGGGGTTGAGGCCAGCCATCCGATACCAACTCAGATAATGGCGTTAACAGAAGACTGCAGCCCACGTTCCTCACGAGCACAGATTCTTAACAGAATCTGGGCAAATCGAGTCTCATGATACAAAAAGATGGAACCCACTGTGATCAAATAGGATCTGCCTCAAGAATGCACGGTCAGTTCACACCTGAACGCAAGACCTGTGTAGCTCCTGTGGTGTACGACCACGAGAAGGGGAGGTTAGACTCCGAGAGGGAGGATATGTTGATGACCGTCTGGATGACCACCTGGATGGTCATACTCTGCCATCATGGATGACCACAAAGAACAGATAAAAAATCAAAAAGAAGAAAGGAATAGTGGTTGGCTCAAACCCAGGAATCAGTGTGGTAGACCGTAGGCTGAGGTGTGGGTGGTAGGCTGGGTCTCCGGGTGGTGGGAGGTGCTGTGAGCTGAACAGTGAGCCTAGTGGTCATCCCTCAGCTCCCTGGGACGTGCCCTCCAGTGCAGATGGGACTGTCTCTGGCTAGCTGCTTCTGGCTCCTGGGGCCACTTGCTCTGAGAAGGGCTCCTGCCATGGCATGCTGCCTCACCAGAGGCTCAGACCAGTGGTGCCCCTGACCCTGGACCTAAACCTCCAGAACCATGAGCCAAAATAAACTCTCTTTACTTCATAAATACCCTGTGTGCCAGGTGTTTCATTATAGTGATGTGAAACCGACTGATGCACCATGTTCACCAACCGCAAAAGACAAACAAATGCTCATCTCAATAGAGGCAGGAAAGCAACTGACAAAATCCAACATACATTCCTGACAAATAAGCAAACTAGAACTCAAAGGGAACTTCTTCAATGCAATGAAGGGCATCTACAGAAACCTCAGCTGGCACCAGGCTCACTGCTGAGAGGCTGAACCCCACATGAGGGGAAGGCTAGGAGGCCACTGTCACCACTGTGTTGGCCACTGTCCAGCCCTGGTCTAGGGGAAGAGACGAAAGGCACTGGGCTGGGGGTGTGCCTCAGGGGTCCAGGGCCTGCTCGGCCTGTGCAAAGCCTGGGTTCCGTCCCCAGCACCGAAAGGAAAAGGAAAAAAGAAAAAGGCATATAAGTTAGAAATTTTAAAAAGTTTGAAAATCTGTCTTCATTCACAACCCAATCATCTGTGTAGCTTTAAAACGCCACGGAGGAAGCTCCCGGGAAAGACGGCAGAATGGATGTGCCCTTTGCATAGCTCTGCAAGGGGCAGAAACACGCTCGGGAGAAAAAGAGGAGCTCCAGGGGGTGGGAGAGCGGAGACGCCAGGGACCCACCCAAAGCCACTAGAACAAACGAATGTTGTGCAGGATGTAAAGATTAAGCCAGAAAGATCACAGACGCGTCACTCAGAACCACAAGTTCCCCAGAGAAACAGACCAACAGGGCGTGCCCATGAAGAGGGATCTAGCGGAAGGACTGGCTCTCACAACCGAGGAGACGGTGAGCCCCAGAGCAGCAAGCTGGAAACCCAGGAGACCTGAGGTGTGCGTGTGGCTCCTGCCCAAAGGCCAGCAGGCTGGACACCCAGGAAGAGTGACCTGCAGGGCCAGGACAGAGGCAGCCAGGTAGGAGTTCTCCCTGACTCTGGGGAAGGTCTCATCAGGCCTTCAACTCACTGGGTGAGGCCCACCCATGAAATCTCAACCTCCTACAAAGACACTCCCCACAGACACACCCAGAGTAAGGTCTGGCCAAATATCTGGGTTCCCATGGCCCAGTTAAGTTGGCTCATAACTATTGCAGAGTCAATATACAAAAATCCAGTGTCCTACTGTATTCTAGAAACAGACACCAGAGGTTGATATGAGAAAGCAATACTACTTATAATGGCATCAAAAATATGAAATACTCAGGGGTAAAATTGATGAATGTGTGCAAGACTTGTGGGGAGGAGGGAAGAAAAGGGAAGGTAGTAGGGAATGAAGCCGATCAAATTGTGTCATGTGCATGTACGAACATGGCACAAAGAACCCCACCACTGTGTTTAATCATAAAGTGACAAACAAAAGAAACAAATAAAAAATTTAAAAAACAATTTTCTAAAAATGTTCAAGACCTGTATGCAGAGAACCACAGAACACGGTGAGGACTGGTACAGACAGTGGCGTGATACACAGAGTCCACAGAAGATCCGTGCCGCAGAGGTGCCGTTTCTCTGAATCTTGAGCTGATTGGCTTGTAGACTAGGATCCAGTCAGAGTCACAGCAGGCTTTTTGGTAGAAATGGACAAGCCGATTCTAAAACACGTCTGGAAACTCAAAGGACTCGGGAGAGCCACAACACGTTAAGAARAGGACAAAGTTGGAGAGCCTGCATGTCCTGCAGGATTCGCAGTCTTTAAAGCTACAGGACTCCAATCCAGGAGGACACAGACCGGTGGACGGAAACGCATGGAGGGTGCGGGAACAGCCTCACAGGTGCACAGACACAGATTTTCAGCAAGGAACCAGGCGGCTCGGCCACAAGGGACTGCCCCTGACCACTGGGCTGGAGGAGCAGACGTTCATATGTGAGCCCACACCCATGCAGAAATGACTCGGACTGATCAGGGGCCCGAGTGTAAAACCTACAGCTGGAAGACGGAGGAAAGAACCTGTTACCCTGGGTTTGGCAAAGACTTTCCAAAAGTAGAAACTACAAAATGTACAAACTGTGGGGCTGGGATTGTGGCTCGGCGGTTCAATGCTTCCTCACACGTGTGAGGCCCTGATCCTCAGCACCACATAAAAACAATAAATAAAATAAAGGTATTGTGTCCAAGTACAACCAAAAAAATGAATATTTCTTTAAAGTACAAACTACAAGAGAAAACCATCAGAATATTGGACTTCATCAAATTAAATAGTTTTTCTACCAATGTAATTCTGCAACCTGTACACCAGGACGGAGGCAGCCAGGTACGAGTTCTCCCGGACTCTGGGGAAGGTCTGATCAGGCCTTCAACTCATTGGGTGAGGGACGGAAGGTCAAGCAGGAACTCGACACCCTCAATGTGTAGAGCACCCTGGGGAGCCCTGGGGAGCACTGGCACTGCAGCCAGTGCTCTGGCCCCTGCTGGCACTCCCCTGGTGACAGGTGGCACCTGCCTCAGCAGGTGAATGAGAAAATGAGAAATTATATCCCATCTGATTCGAATGTATGATATGTCAAGATCATGGTACTGTCATGTGTAACTAATTAAAACAAAGAAAAAAATAAAAAAATAAAGCAAATAGAGTAGAAATAAAAAAAAAAAACAACAGCAGTTTTTCTTCCCCCAAACCTCATGGAAACAGAAGAGCTGCCGACTGGGAGGCTGTGTAAAAAGCATACCCAGATGGACCTGTATTTAGAACATTCAATGAACTCTCACAACCAGAAAGGCAGCCGACTCAGCTCTCCTGACAGGTGGGGAGACAGCCCTGCACTCTGGCCCGGCCCAGCAGYCCTCCTGCTCTGCGTGGCTGGAGAAGCTGTGAGCCGGTCGTCGCCGGGCCAGCGGCACGGGCCTCACCGTTGAGGTAGTAGCTCCGCCTGGTCCTGTCCCCGGTGGGCAGGCTGCTCTCTGAGAAGCACACCTTCTTGGGTCGCACCATCTCCCTGGGCTCGAGCAGCGTCTTGTCCACCAGTGGGTCCTGCAGGGGGCTCAGGAGCGGAGACAGCTTCCTGTCGGGGCCCCGGGCGTGCAGCTCTGGCGCGCCGATGAAGGCCTTGAAGGTCACCTGGGAGGAGGTGGCACAGCCCGGGGAGGCTTCGTCCTCGCTGGAGAGGGGGGCGTGCGAGCACAGCAGGTCCTCCAGGGAGGACGTCTGCATCTGGGAGGGTGTGTCGGGGACACTGCCGAACCTCCCGAAGTCTGAACCTGGGTGGAGGAAAGGGACGGAAGGTCAAGCAGGAACTCGACACCCTCAATGTGTAGAGCACCCTGGGGAGCCCTGGCACTGCAGCCCCTGCTCTGGCCCCTGCTGGCACTCTGGTGACAGGTGGCACCTGCCTCAGCAGGCCTCACACTCAGGGCCACATCCTGCAACGACTTCCACACACCTTTCTAATCTGTCACAAATGGTGTCATTCTGTGTGTTAATGTCTGAGAGTGGTCCAGGATCAGCCACCTGCACACAGTGACTTCTGACCATGATTGGGAAGTCCAGCTGTGGGAGGCCTCCCTGGACACACCTCCTCGCCCACAGTGCAGGCCCTCCCTGGCCAGCTCCTGGGCCAGTGAGAGGCTTTTGACTTTCTTGGCTTCACATACCACAGGGCATAGAACCCAGGCCCCATCTCCCAGGGGTCAAATTCAGCTCAACTCTTATTGCTTCTGAGGCCCTTTGCTGCCTGCATTCTCCTAGCAATAAAGGAAAGGTGCACTTGACAAACTGTAYTTTAAGAGTTATATCAAAAAATTGAGTCTTAAAATGAGCATATTCAGGTACTTGCTATTTTACTCTCAAARATATTTTGCAAGGTAAAAAAAAAATGTTCAAAGGATGAAAATTCATCAAGATCCTGCTCCATCTTCCCAGAGGAGGCTGGTCAGAGCCCCTCCACAGACCCTCTTCACACTAAGAAAGGGTACCGTGTACGTGCACCCCCTGGAAATGTCAACACAAGGAGAGCTCCTCTGGGAGGTGATTTTTAAGTGATTTAATAAGAAGTAGAAAACAGGGGCCGGGGATGTGGCTCAGTGGTAGAGTGCTTGCCTAGCATGCATGAGGTACTGGGTTCRATTCTCAGCACCWCATTAAAAAAAATAAAATAAAGATATTTTAAAAAGATTTAAAAAAAGAAGTAGAAAACATAAATGGGCCAATAAACAAAGAAGAAATATCTAAATCTTATAAGTAAATRATTATAAATAATTATTCCCTGAAGGAATGCAGGCCCAGGCAGGCTGTGGTAAATTCTTTCAGGTTCCCCAGCAGTGTATAATCCCTATATAAGCTGAGTTGGAACACTAAAAAAATAAAAAATAAAAGATATGCAACYAAGGTTTTAAAAAAAATGTGGCACAATTCTGATATCAAGAAAATTTGTCAAAAATCTGAATCAAATTCCCACAAAGATAATCCCCAGAAAGGAAAGTGGTCTAGGTTCACGTAGAGAGTACAGAAAAAAGACTTGCAAAACCCGTCCAAGGACATCCAGGGTCCTCATCCCAGCAGGGCCCTCTAGGGGAGAAGCCGAGGGCACCGGGTCACCCAGAAACAGGCTCCCAGGACCACAGGAGCAGCCGCCTCTTCACAAATAAGAGCTGGGGGGCCTCTTCCCCTGCGCCCAACTGTGCCCACGCCCAAGCAGCTGGGGCCATCAGTCACTGCCCACAGGTGGCCAGGACCGTGCAGCAGCAGCCCCTCTGCCCCCAGGGAAGAAGCCCCATGAGAGTCACAGCCAGCCAGCACTCTGAGCAGTGAGGACAGACACAGAAACGAGGAAGCACTTAGAACAGCCATCCGTGCATCCTGGGGCTGTGGCAGGGGAAACCTGAGAGGACAGACTGGAACCCAGAGGAGAGCACCCAGTGGAGAGCTGCAGATGGCAGACCATGTGGGTCCTGCAGCCGCCCAGGCCCCCAGGTTTCCTGCAGCGCTCCACAAGGCTCTGCTCACCAACAGGAGCAGCCATGCTGCAGAGGGCCTCCGGTGCTGTGCTTAAGGCTGCCACACATACCTCCTGTGAATCCAGTGGCAACAGCGGAGATGCAGTGTGAGAAAGACCGGAGACCAAGAACCAAAGGGCTCTGTGTACCTACAGCATGTGAAGCCCTCCTGGGGTACTGAGAAGACACAGGTAGGAACACCATAAAAATGTACCCCAAGATTTACTTCTGCCTTCCAAACCATGATCCTGCTTGTAGAAACAGAAATCCTAAGGAAATAACCCTGATTTTTTAAGAAACACCTGTCTGCAGTGTTACCTTGGGGAAAAAAAAAAAAGAATTTTCATTTCAAAAAGAAGAGAGTTCATTCAGCTATGGCTCATCTGACTCTGCGGCCTGCACAGCCAGTTTAAAACACATTTGCAGCCCAGGAATGATCCTGTCTGAAGCTAAAGGGGTGCTAGAACTCACAGCCACTGAGCTCAGCAACACTTGACCAGCCACGGTGCCGAGAGCCTGCAGTGAGGAGCCGGGCATTGCTCAGCTCTGGACAAGTCCCAGGATGCACAAGTGGAGTGGGGAACCAGAATGACCCAGAGAGAAAGAGGTCGCAGGAATGTGTACCGTCAGCTCTGCGCCCAGGAGAAGATCTACTGGGGAGGCCCTGATCACTTGTCCTCCGAGCAGACACTGACATCTGTGGTGCTGAATGAGGAGACAAGGTCGCAGGGCACCCTCCCTGCTCCTGGGAGCACTTGGCAGTATGTTTCAAGACGCACTTAGGGACATCCCTGGCACCAGGTCCAAGAGGGCAGGTGTGGTTGCTCACAGCTCCACCATCTGTGGTCCCAGAGGACTGGGGATGGTGCTGCCCCATCACAGGGCCCAACATCAAACTGCACTGCAGACACAGAGGAGGGCCAGTGGACAGCAAGGGTGGGGTGGTGTTAAGGGGTCAAACCATGCTCATGATCTTGCTTAGGTAAACCAAAGGACAGACAGATTCCCTCCTGCATGTCCATCAGGAGTGCCAGAGGAAGCTCATCAGCATGGGTTAGCTGCCCATGGGGTGAGACCAGGAAGCAGACACATGTCTACTCTAACTTCTATGTTGTGGCACTTTAGAAAAACAGGTTTGGGGGCTGGCATTGTGGCTCAGCGGTAGAGCACTAGCCTAGCATGTGCAAGGCCCTGGGTTCGATCCTCAGCACCACATAAAAATAAGGATATTGTGTTCAACTACAACTAAAAAATAAATATTATTAAAAAAAAAAAAAAGAAAAACAGGTTTTGAATATACATCCTGGTTTGAAAGCAGATATTAGGGGACTTCTGGAGACGTGCAGCCACAGCTGCGCCTTTGTGATGCTGCGTTCCTTCCCATCTGTAAACTTCCTTCGTTACGCACTCGATTTGGCTTTCCAAACTCTAGTCCCCGGCCATGGTTGTGCCATTGCTGGACGACCCTGCCATGGGTCTGCAAGGGCTGGGGGCAGGGGTGGCTAGGCCTGAGTGAGCCCCAGGACCCCAGGCTCATACCTAGACACCTGCCCAGATGTTGTGGAGGTGAGAGGCCAGCTCGGTCCAGGCCCTGCCTTTGCACGTTGAGCTGCCTGACTGAAGCCCACAGCTAGCCTGAGCCGTATGAACCTTGGCACACTCCCTGTGGCCGGGCTCCCACGCTCTGTGGAAATTTGGTGGCCTCAGACTGTGGCCCCCTGAGCCTGGAGTCCAACAAGATCCAGGCTTGCTGGAGTTGCTGAAGGACAAGGGTGCTGGCCCCAGCCGGAGATGAGGCGCGAGGCTTGTGGGCCTCTTACAGCAGTCAGCACTCAGGCCTTCGCAGCCTCCGCAGCCTCCCACAGTCTGGGGTCCGAGTGTCCACAGACTTGACACTGGCACTCCAGTGTGCCACAGTGGCCCAGGAAACATCCTGGCCTCCCAGCCCCTCCCCAGCGGTGCTATCTCCATCCTACACCCCAACCCCCTGCACGAAGCCCCTGCCCACCGAGCTCCCTATTGTAGGTCCCCTGGGACTGAAGGAGCCAGAACCTGCTCTGCACCAGGGCCAGAGGCCTTGCCCACAGCTGGACCATGCAGGACACCATTTCCAGCGCTGAGCATGAGCAGAGGAGGGTGGCAGATACCCAGGTAGACTCTAGGAAGTGACCACAACAAATGTAGGCCCAGGGAGGCCCTGGTGAGTACACATGGCCTCCAGGGCATCCCACGGAAGCTGGCCATAGACTGGCCAGATGGTTCCACTTGCAGACAGCAGGGTCCACAGGGCCGGCCTGCCTGGTTGGGCTACAATTCTCAGGCAGCCTGGGGGTTCTTCCCACTGTCCACCATCCCAACCCAAGGCCAAGGCCACATGCCCCAGCTGCGCCCAAAGTCACCTTACCATTATGAAAAGGGAACTTCTCTCTCAAAACATTTGAAACAGAACCAGAGAGCAATCAGCAGAAAGCAATAAAAAATCTCATTTGATTTTTCTGTAAAATGCCATAGAAGTCTGGAGCCAAACTGTGTGGCAAGGCCACAGAGCCACAGCCTCCCACCCACTCACCCCACGAGGCCCCACAGGCTCTGAGGGGCAGACGCCGTCCCTGGGCACCAGGGCCCAAGAACCCTGTGGGCTGACGGTGTGTGGTGGACGTGACACAGCAGAGGTGTGAAGCTTGTGAGGGGAGACCCTGCACCTGTGAGAAGCTCTCTGGGGCCAGTCCATCGGGGGGACATGGCGGGGAGAACTCCCAGGCAGAGCTGCCCTCGTGGCTCAGAGCCACAGGCGCCACCTGCCCGCTCCAACCACAGTGCTGCTTCTGACATGGGCAGCCCTGGACCCACTCAGGTGGCCAGCCACGGACCGTGCTCCAGGCGTGGACCCTGGGAGGGTGGGGAGGTGCCCACCCGAATTGGAGGCCCCCGCCCCGGCCCCCACGGCCTGGGGGCTGTGCCTCACCTGCACACCCGGGGGAGCAGGCCTCGGGGTAGGCGGGGCCCCGGGGGAAGAGGGGCTCGCGGGGCTCGCGGCCCCCGCGGCTGCAGCTCTCCTGGCAGCTCTCGCTGAGCAGCCGCTTCAGCATCTGGTTCTCCTTCATCAGGCGCACCTGCTTCTTCAGGTCCGCGTTCTCGCTCATGAGCCTGTTCATCAGCTCGCTGCCCTCAGCCATGGCGCGTCCTCCGTGCTCACGTGTAGGCCTGCGGCCCCATGGAGATGGAAGTCCAGAGCTCCCAGACCTACAGAAGCCACCCAAGACCCTGGAGTTCCAGGGCAGCCGCCTTCCACAGCCTTGTGATGTCGCTCCCTTAAAGAGACAGTGCCACCACCATCGGGGCCCCAGACGGGGTGGTGCCTGGCATGCAGACGTCCACTGGGGCTGGCCCTTGGGATCCACACCTGAGGAGGGGCAGGCAGTGGGGGCCAACAGGGGACAACAACGTGATTCACCGAACTGTCACTTAGACTCCGTGGCAGGGGACAAGGCCCTCTGGACCAATCAGGGAGAGCTGGGGTACACTGACTGGGTCCCCCAGGAGAGGCTCTGACCTCAGTCAGTGACCACCTGGAAACCTGCCCTGCACTGCCTCTCCACTTGCCAGGGAAGGCACTGGACAGGGCTGTTTCTGGCTTAGAAGGCACCAAGGGCATCTGGCCTTGTTGGGTGAGGTCCACACCCACGCCTTCCCGCTCCACAGCTGGAGCCTCCGTACCCAGCCCACGAGCAGCAGGCTGGTAGCTGGGGTCACGGGCCTGACCGTCCACCAGCATGCTGGCCAGGACCCACTGCCCTTTCCAGATGCCACTGGACTCAGCTTGTTACTGTTTGTGCTTAAGAGGGAATTGATAGGGTCTTTTTCTCCTCCCGTCCTGGCCTGGTTTATAACATTGCCTTATAGAATGAGGACACTCTATTTGGGATATGTCAGATGATTCCTTTCTTAAATGTTTGATAGAATTTACCAGAGAAGGCATCTAGGCCTAGATTTCTCCTGGAAGTTTTAGATTTCTAATTCCATTTCTTTGATATGAGGTTACTTAGCTGCCTTTTCTTCTTGGGTCCATTTTGGTGACTTTCTCAAAGAACTTGCTCTTGCTGTCCATCTGAGTCACCCTCAAGGACAGGCAGATAAGCCAGGTAGGGAGACAGAGAGGATGTGGGGAAGCAGCTCTGGGGCCTCTTCACAAAGACCCACAGCCGTGCGAGGGGAGCTGTGGACTCAGAAGGCGAGCAGGGTGCACAGATGGCCAGGGCACTGCCAAAAGGACAAGGCCCAGCCTCTGTGCGCAAGGTAGCCTTTCCACCATTCCTGGCAGCAGGCCATTTCCTGTCCTACCCAATCGGACTTGAGAATCTGCTCAAGTGCCAGCTTCTGGCTCCATGGACCTGTCACCAGACCTGCTGCCTACTGCATGGGACTCTGCTCTTCCTTTGCTCCCGCTGGCCTAGGCTTCCTGGTTGGGAGTGTGGGTCCTGGCTTAATCTTTCTTACTGTTCGTTTTGGCTATGTCACACAGTTTTGGTGACATGTTTTTATTTTCATTCAGCTTGAAGTATTTTCTGTTTTCCCTTGTGCTCACTTTATTTTATTTATTTTTGGTACTGGGGATTGAACCCAGGGGTGCTTAGCCACTGAGCCACATCCCCAGCCCTTTTTTTAGAGACAGGGTCTCACTGAGTTGCACAGGGCCTTGCTAAATTGCCCTGGGTGGACTTGAACTTGTGATCCTCCTGCCTCAGCCTCCCGAGCTGTTGGGATTATAGGAATGCACCACCATGCCCAGCTCTTCATTTCAATGAGCTCCAGCCAATCCATTATTTTCTTTGTAGATGATATGTCATTGACAAACCCAGGGTCATCTAGGTTCTGTCATCTTCTAGGAGTTTTACAGTCTTCACATTTAGGTCTGAGATACACTTAATTTTTGTGAAGGGTTCATGGTTTACGTCTAGATTCACTTTCTGCTGAAGACTCCTTTCTCCACTGGATGGGCAGTCCCAGCCCTTTGCTCAAGAGCAGTCTGCTTTGCCTGCGGGGCCCACCCCTGGGCTCCCTGTCCTTCCGCTGCTGCCACAGTTGTGAGTCTCCAAGTGGGTAGTGCAGTCCTCCAATGTGGCTCGCATCTCGCCTTTCACCATAGATCATTCAAGTGTGTTATTTGATTTCCAAATATTTGAGATTTTCTGAATCTTCTGCCATTGAGTCCTTGCTTAATTCCATTATGCTCAGCACACTCTGTATAGTTCCAGCCCTTTTTAGTTCTGTGAGACTCAAGACCTGGCTGATGTCCTGCCTAGGTGAACGGTCCAGGAGCACTGGAGTGTGTCTCCAAAGGCAGGCCCAGTATGCCACAGCACTGGTAAGCACACACCGGTGATGATGTTCAGGTCTGTCCTCTGAACCTGAGTCAGGTTGCTGAGACAGGTGCTGAGGTCTCCCAGGACCCCTGTCAGTCTAGTTCCCTGTCTGGTCTGAGCGCTTGCTTYGTGTATGTTGAAGAGGTCAGGAGCAGGTACGTCTAGGGGTGTGATGCCCTTTCTATATTGACCCTCTCTACTTCTGGTATTATTTCTTGTCCTAACCTCTACTGTGGTATTAATATAGTACTTCTGTTTATAACTACTGTCTTTTTCATTTGTTCTTTTAAGATATACATGACAGTAGAACAACGTATTTTGACATAGTACATACATGGAGTATTTGTCTAATTTAGATCCCATTCTTGTGGTAGTAAGGAAAGACACTAGAGTGAGTACTGTTTTTATGTTATCTAGTTTTCTAAACATTCACTCTTTTTTGAGACAGGGCCTCACTATATTGCTGAGGCTGGCCTCAATCTTTTAATCCTCCTGCCTCAGCTTCCCAAGCAGCAGCTGGGATTTCAGGTATGTACCACAGCACCAGCTTAAACTTTTACTTTTAACCTGTCTCTAAAAATTTATTTTGGACAACTGTCGTGTTCCACGACTAAACACTCAAGTTCATTCCAGGTGAACTGGGCTGAATGAAATAATCACAGAGACAGAGAAATACCTTTTTCTCTGGTCCTGTGACAGCTCCTCTGACCTTAGGGGTCCATGGAAAGAGAGAGAGGAGCACATGCTGAACCCTTTTATTGGGGAGAAACCATTCAAGTGAGGCAAGGGGTGCGATTGCAAAGGAACAGGTGAGCGTAGCTTAACTCCTCTGGCTGCCGCCTACTCCTAGGGCCACACCTTGTTATCCCAGGGAGGGAAAAGCCGGAGTCACTAATCGTGGCACGACACACCAGACTACAGTGATCTTTCAGAATTTAAAGGTGCGTGGACTTGGAGTGGCTTCCCACGGACTACACAGAGACAGGCCATGCTCTCCATCCAAGGGCCAATATCTGTTCTTTAGTAGGAGCACTTAGCTCTTACAGTTAATAAAACACTTAAAAGGGAGCTAGGGATGCAGCTCAGTCGGTAGGATGCTGGCCTCGCATGCACAAGGCCCTGGGTTCGATCCCCAGCACCACACCCACATTAGGAGCTGAGTTCCCCTCTGGTCTTTGTTCTTCTCCCTGCCTCCTTTTGAATTATTTTGTTCCTTCCGGAGCAAACTTTGAAGGGGTTTGTGACAGGGTTCACCTTGGTCACCTGACTTGCTGCAGCCTACTTCTCAGTAATCAACTATTTGTAACCTACCTCTTCTCATTCGAGTGGGGACCCAGCACTGTGTGCTCCCTCCCTCCCTGGGCAGCCTGTCTGTTCCTGTTTTCATAGCTCCTGGTTAAAAACCCCACTATTTTTACTTTTAAATGTCAGTGGTGTTTTATTTTATTTTTTAAGGAAGAAGGCTATTCTTTTTTTTTTTTTTTTTGAAAGAGAGAGTGAGAGAGGAGAGAGAGAGAGAGAGAGAGAATTTTTTAATATTTATTTTTTAGTTCTCGGCGGACACAACATCTTTGTTGGTATGTGGTGCTGAGGATCGAACCCGGGCCGCACGCATGCCAGGCGAGCGCGCTACCGCTTGAGCCACATCCCCAGCCCCGGTGTTTTATTTTAAAGAGATTCTGTTTTAAGCAAAGAGGAAAAGCCCTCTGTACTTGCCACCTGCCATCTGGGTGCTCTTCCTTCCTGGGCTAGGAGCTGCTTCCACCTGGTACTACTTCCCTTCCACCTCAACACCTTGACATTTCCATGGGTCACCTGGTGGGAAATCTTTTCGGTGTGGGTCAGTTGGAAAAACGATTCACTTGTTTTCTGGTCAATCTGGCCACTGTCCCCAGCACTCTACGCTGGCCCACACTGTCATCCTCGCCGTGCTCTTGAACGTGACCTGCTGGTCTGTGGCTTTCGGGACTCGTATTTGGTGATGTGCCGGGGCACTGGCTGTCTGGATCTGTGGGCTGACAGGTTTCCCCGAGCAGAAAACCTGCCAACCAGAATTACTTCAAGTGGTTCTGTGCTTCCGACCCCAGCTTCACGTCAGGCCTCTCACCAAGATCCAGCAGGTCCCTGAGCTCAAATGTGCTCTTCTAGTCTTCTGTCCATCTGGGAGCTTCAGCGTGCTTCTTTCCCTGGGAGACCTGAAGGCAGGCCTGTCCCAGGGAGTGCAGACCTTGGGATCACTCTTGTAGAGGCCTGTGCCTGGGGCTGCCTGAAGCCTTGCTGCTCTCCTGAGTCCCAGGAGACCCCTGGACTCAAGACACCCTCTGGACCTTGCTGCCCCGAGTGCAGAATTCCATCACACAGAAAACCAGGATGACTGTCCCATGGAACCAGTCGATTCTGGTCATCCACATCACCCCATCCTCCTGTATGAGGAATGGAAAGCTTCAAGTTAGTCCTACAATCTCAGAGAAGATGGCAGGCACCCAGGATCGTGCTAAGTTCGCCCAGCTCTCCAGAGCCACACCCTGGCCTCCACGGGGCTACCTTCCAGGTCTGCTTTCAGGGCTCTGGCTTGACCACACTGCCCTTGTGGAGAGATGCTGTGAGGAACAGCCCAGGGAAACCTGGGGTCCCCATCTACCCCCTCTGGATGCCCCCAACTAGTGGGCTGCACATCTCCTGGGCCAGCGTCCTTGCTAGTGCTCCCTGGAGGCCAAGCACATCTACAGTCTGGCAGAGAGTCAGCGCTGACCTCATTCATGACCCATCAGAATGTCTCATTTTTCTAACCTTAATTCCATTCTAAAACAAACTGAATTGTAAGTAACTTATGTGGCAGATGAAGAAATGAAAATAAATCAATTTCACTGATCAATTACATATGGCTATATTGTCCTATTTGCTGAAATTAGAGAAGAATGAGGCAACAACAGCAAACAGCTTTTGGGAAAATAGGCCAAAATATGAATCTACACAGCAACATCCCATGAGGGAAAATACCTTTTTAGAGACAAGCTTCATCCTGTTAAGCCTTTCCCACTAGAGACTCCCTCCAAGAGGCCATCTGATTCCCACATTAGCAGACACCCAGCAAACCCAGGGCAGCTCCAGGCCTGCAGCACATGCAGAATCTGCTCCTGACAACCAAACCCAATAAGCCAAACCCGACTCCTCAGTGACCCACTCAGCTCAGAGCCTGCTTTCACTCATGCCAGGTAAGCATGCCCCTTCAGTGATGGGGACACTGGTCCCTACGCAGCTCTCTGGCACTGAACTGAGGCCAGGAGTCCCACTCTCCCCACACAGGGGCAAGGAGGCAGTCTCAGAAAGCCCCAGAGCACAAGTTCCCCAGAGCAAGCCAAACAAGCACAGTGTTCTTCTCCCCCAGGGTTTAAGTGTCCCTTTATTAAGGAAGCTGGTCATGTAGGTGATTTTCAGCAGAAAAGTCAGTTTGCAGCTTCCTTCTGGAAAACCTGTGTCTTCTACAGTGATCTGGTCTTGGCTGGAAGTTTCTGGGCAGACCAGCTGCCACTAAGGCAGGTCTAGCACAGAGGGGCTGGTCAGCACAGGCAGCAGCACAGGCTGTCACCGAGGCAGGAAAGCATGGAACCATGCTGTGCAGGGCTCAACAGGGCTGGGCAGGAGGCAGAGTTGTGGACTTGCACTTGAGGCCTGCAAAGCCTGGAGGTCAGGGCGCGAGCAGCCATGGATGGATGCAGTGCAGACAGGCGAGCTCACGAGCCAGGGGCAGGCCAGTGCCACCCTGGGCTCCCCACCACACAGCCTCAGGGTGTGCACCGAATCCTGGTACATCACGGTGAACAAGAGCCCAACCCACTCCCTGCTGGCCAGTCTCTTATACCATCGTTGAGGGGCTGTGTCCCTCCCTTACCCAGCATACACAGGAATGTGGGAGCAGCTAGCCCAGGTCCCATCCCCAATCAGCAGCAGGTGGGGAGTGCTCGGGGCCCAGCAGCTGCTCTCCTGAGAACCCAGTCTCTCCAGCCTTCTTCCCTCAGGCAAGAAGTGCCCAGGGACAGCATGAGGTGCTGCGGCTCCTCTGACGTCACAGTCAGACTCGCTCCCTTCCTCCCTGAGCCCTCTCAGAACCAGACCTACATTGACAATCACTCTGGCAATTGTAGTCTAAAGCCACCGACCCAGTCCCTGTCCCTGCCTCAGGACTGATCCCAACACATGTGCCGAGGTGGAGCAGAGGGCTACAGCACAAGGCAGGGAACGGACACCTGCCACCTGGCCAAGACAGCTCAGTCTTGTGGGCACAGGTGTGAAGATGATGCTCGCCACCTGCAGCAGCCAGCACAGGTTGGCATGCTCTCAAGGGCAGGTGCACTCAAGGGCGGCCAGAGAGGGCGCTCTCGGGGTACAGGTTGGCGAAGCGGCCCAGGACCCAGATGGGGAAGACATTCCTGTAGCTCGTGTAGCTGATGGCACAGGACTTGTTGAAGACCCCAGAGATGTTCTCCTAGAAGGACAGAGAAAAGGGCACCAGGGCCCAAGGGCCTTGTCATGGACCGCAGCCCTGGCTGCCACAGGGTTGGTGCACACCTGAGCAAGCAGGGGCAAGGGAAACTTAGGCTGGCAGTCCTCCTGCCCAGCCTCCGCCCAGCTGGGGGCTGTCGCCTTTAGCAAACCCTCCCTGGGCCTCCAGCCCTCATGGCCACACCAGCTTCTGCAGGACTCCTGCAGGGAAGGGGCTCATGACTCCCACCCTCTGGGGACAGGTAGAGCCTGCACCTGTGCCTCCTGAGAGTGAGGGGCCACGTGCAGCTCCCACACAACAGGGCAGTCAAGGGTTGTGCTGCGAGGGCATCTCCCACCCAGCCCCCTGCCAGAACTTGATTGACTGACAGCAAGACCTGCTCAGAACTGGCAACCTGCCCCAGAACTCCACCTCACAGGCCTCTGGTTGGCAGAGTATCTGCACCCCAAGCCCCAAAACACCCAGTGAGGGACACAGGGGAGGATGTGAGAACCCACATGCAAGCCAATGGCCGGCACTGGGTTTCACGCACCTGGGGCCAGTCACCATTGGGAAGCTGCTTCTCCAGCAGACACTGGACCCCTCTCTCCTGGGCTGTGATGTCAGGGTGCCTGAGGAGAGGAGACACTTGCTCGGTGGTGTGCACAAACACAGATGGGTGTGAGTGTGTACTCACCGTAGTGCACCAAGCTCACAGAAAACCCACAACACTATAATGGTAGAAGAGCTCAGCCTGCCGTGGCAGAGGGGAGCAGGGCAGGTGGGACACGCCTCCTGCAGACCCGTGCCTAGAACCCAGCTGAACATGGAGCTTCCCAGGCGGGAAGGCTGAGCCACATGCCCACTGAGCATGCTGGAAGCCAGGCAAGTACGTGCACTGAAGTGCTCGATGCCAAGGATGGACACCAGAGGGGACTGTGGGCATGGGGGTGCTGAAGTCAGCCTTGGGGGTGACCAGGAACAGACCCCTGACAGTCCTGCCCTGGGTGCCCCTGACTGTTGTACTTGCTCACACCAACTGAGAGGATTCAGGCTCCACACCAAAGAGAGCAGCCAACTGGAGCACGGCATGCACGTCAGCATGTGTGTGTCCACTCATGCACGTGCACCTGTGTGCAGGCACAAGTCTGCACGTCTCTGTGTGTGCATCTGTACATGTGTGGCTCAGCATCAGCTGTGACCACAGGAGGACCAGCTGCAGGGACAGAGGCAACCACTGCTGCTGCCACACGGGAAGCAGCCCCATGCCCAGCCTACATCACCCCAGTCCCTCAGGTCTCTGCTTCCCTTGCTCTGCCAACCACTGCTGGCCACCAGCGCTGTCACCAGGAAACCTCTCTCAGGACCCCACTCAGCTGGATGGGCTGCCACCTAACCAGGAATGGGAAACATGGCTCCTGGAGGAGCTTCTGTCCCCCGAGTGACAGCTGAGCAGCAGCATAGTCCTGTGGCCCCCTCAACTCTTTCCACATCTGCACTTGACCCAGGCTACCTGCTGACCATTGAGGGTCCCTCCATCCCGCCACTCTTACCTGACAGCCATCAGCCCCATCAGGGCCCAGCATGTGCTGTGGATCTGGGACTGGGCACTCTGCACGTACTGCCGCTGCTCACAGGACTCAAAGTCCTCGCCCCAGCCTCCATCCACCATCTGCCGGGACAGCAGGAAGTCACAGGCCCGAGAGACCTCCTCACAGGCAGCCCTGCAGAGACCAGGAGACTTGAGACACCCTCACTGAAACAGTCAGGGCCCCCCAGATCCCACCCTGGCAAGCAGCCTCAGGGCCATGGAGAGGGCCTACAGCTGTGAAGTGGGGACACACACCTGCCTCCTGGCCTGCTCAGCACAGAAAAATGCTCTGCAGCTTCAGGCAGCCCCACTGGGCCGCAGGCTGAGTTCCTGACACAAATCAGGAATACCTGGGTTGTGTCCGGTCAAGCACAGGGCCTAGCACACTCCACCCCTGCAGCTCACTGGATCCAGAAGGGCTGGGTGGGGCAGTCAGAGACAGGGCTTGGACCCAAGGCTTCACCCCTCTCTCAGCAGGGCCCAGTGAATGTCCTGGACCCTAGCCCTCCTACTGGTTGGGGAGCAGGTATGTACAGGGAAGGTGTGGGATCACCTCTGGAAAACTCTGAGGTGGCCCCTAGCCAAAGGCTCCGAAGCCAGGGAAACATCTTTGTTCAACCTGGGATTCACATTTTCTGGGATGCTGTTCTTATCTCACTGTTTAAAAATACCAAGAGATCCCCAAATCAAACATCAAAGGGGAAAACACCACACAGAGGGCCAATGGCCCCACAGCTGCACTCACCCATCACGGTAGGTATGCCCCATGCAGGCGAAAGCTTCCAGGCCAAACCAGGTGCCATAGGTGAAACAAACCCCCCAGGAACTGGAGAGAGAGGAGAGAGGGCCTCAGCCTCAGGTTCTCACCCTGGAGGAGGGGGTGTCCTTGAACAGAAAGGGTGGGGCTGGGCCAGGAAAAGCATCCKCATGTCCCTAAATGAGCTGCACCACCTGCAGGGCCCTGGCATGAGGTTGCAGCCCACTGGGTCCAGCATCCAGGTACAGGAGCTTGTGAAGATTTATAGTCCCAAACCTGGGACACAGGGACAGTGTGGGCATAAGAGGCCGTGCCCACCTGGCTCAGCTGCTGCCCCCCTAGGTGGACTGGGGAGACCCCAGTGACATGGCCAGGGAGGAGAAGCCATCACACTCAGACCACAGAGCACTTGCACACACAGAGCCAACGGCCCTACAACAGGCAACATGGGCACACACACAAGAGAAGCCTGGCAACAAGCAGGAAGCCAGTGGGCAAGCCCAGCCCCACCCTCCACCACGCCCAAGAGGCCAGGTGCTGACTCACCCCTCCCAGGAGCCGTCAGCCCTCTGCTTCTGCTGACAGAACGCCAGGCCCCGCTCCAGTGTCTCCCTGGAATATAGGCGGAGCCCAATAAGCACCCAGCAAAACCACGTTGCCCGTCCCAAGCCACACTCTCCTGAGAGGGAGCAGGCTTTCCTTTAGAAAACAGTCAAAACGACCTTCTGACAGTAGGAAAAGCAGCAGCCACAGGACACAGGAGGGGGGAAGCAGATGGTCAGAGCTTCAGAAAGAGAGGCAAGAGGAAGGCCTTGGGGATGAGGCCTGTGCTGGGTGCAGCCAATAACAGGATCGGCCTCGGTCCACGCTGTCAGCCACAGGCCTGGGCCTGTCCCACAGGGTGAATGGGAGATCGGCCACAGACAACGTCATCGCCACACCACAAGCCTCAGCATAGCATAAGAAAAAAGAAAAGAAAATTTGGTTACAGAGGAAATGATGGACTTAGAAGGCTGAGAAGGTAAACTCTACACCTGGTGGTCCCGCTGAAGAACAACAGGCCCTCCAAAAGGCTGACCCTCTTCTAGGACTCACACCAGGCAGTCCTGCAGAGCCTGCCTTGTTTTTAAAGGGCAGCTGCAGCAGATCGGACAATGTTCCTGTGATGACCTGTCCCTGAGAAGGACCAGCAGGCTCTCTCTCATAGGCTCTCTCCCTTGCTAGCTTTCACAAGCTACCAGAGGCCCCCACATCAGGGGACAGATGGCAGCTTCCAGCCTTGGACAACCCACAAGGGGTGGGATCCTGCCCACGAGCACATGCTGAGAGGCGGATCCCCCACTGGTGCTTGTACAAGGCCCAGCCCTGGTTGGTCCCAGGCTGACATCTCTGAACCAGGGGACTTCCTAGGCTGCGCCTGGCTAGACCCACAGAGAAGGAACCATACAGTGTGCTGTCCATGTCTGTCCATGCCACAGCAAAGCCTGTGGCCACCCTGCTGCTTGGTACCAGGGAGTGAATGTGCACAGAGTCCATAGGCAGTTTCAGAAGTGGAGAGTGAGGTGACTCCAGGGGAAAACAATAGGGACGCAACACCAAGACTGCCTCGAGAAAGAGTGCCTGGAGTCCTAGACGTACCAAAACAGGAGTCAAAGTGCAAACTTTTCCCAGAAAGAAAACTCCTAGCAGCTTTTTTAGTAATCTCTACTCAATCATCAAGAATGTCCATCCTACTGTCATGTGGACTCTCCCCAGAACAGAAGGGGAGATGGGCCTCTAACTATGCAGAGGGGACCAGCTCGGTCAGGCCTGCCAAGGTTGCACTGCAGCCCTCTGCAGCACCAATGAGTAAGGGGCAGAGAGGACCCTCTAGTCGAGGCTGAAGCTCAACACCTGCTCGAATCGGAGAGAAGCACACTTCACAGGTCCACAGGAAAAGCAATTCCTCAACTGAAAAAGGCCGATGCCAAAAGCTTCCACCAGTGCCACTCCCGCAGAGACACAGCAGCTCTCCCCCGGGGCAGGAAACCTGGCAAAGCTCCCACCATTTCCACTTCTGAGCACCCTAGAGGCCTCAGCCAGGGCAGCCGGTCCAGGAAGGCAGCAGTGCTGGGGACCGACAGGGAGGAAACGTCTCTAAGCTCTTCACACTACATTCATTCATATGGCTTTTGTGGACTATAGATCCAGTTTTAAAACCAAAAACAAGGGAGGGATGAAGTCACTTGCCAGTGACATGATCATCCACAGGGAAAGCTCAGGAAGTCATCAGGGGAGGGATTTGCCCCGATGGTTTCACCAGCGAACTCCACCACTCAGGGAAGAAAGTCCACCAAGTCTCCAGAGGACCGTGGCTAACACGGTCCATGGGGCCAGCACCCAGGGATCTACCTCAGGAGCAGCAAGGCTGGCTCCCCCTCTGAAGACCAGTCAAGGCAACCCATTACACAGACAGACAAGAGGAAAGGCCACGATGGGCGGACGCAGCTCACGGCAGGGCACTTGCTTGGGTTCCACCCCTAGCACCACAAAAAAACACTAGAAAGAAAAACAAATCACGATCAACCAATGCAGAAAAAGCATTTGACAAAATCCAACATGCGCTCAGGATGAAACTCTAAGCAAATGAGGAAGAGATGAACCTCCTCAGCTGAATCAAGAACATCTACAGAAGCCCACAGCGAGCGTGGCACTAAATGGTGAGACACCAGAAACTTCTGGCTGAGCCTGCACAGGTCAGGAGCCCACACAACCCCAGGGGACACTGTGCCGTGTGTCCTAGCCACTGCGACAGACAAGGGAGACACAAAACAGTCTGTGCCCAGGAGACGAGGCTGTCTGTGCAGAAAATCCCCAAGAGTCCATGGCAACAACTGCAGGCTGCAGGACGCCACCCGGCCTCCTGCTGGCAGTGGGCAGTTAGAGTCCACATTCCCAGCACAGAGCCACGTGCGTGAGCACCAGAACACAAAATGATCCAGTATAAGCCTGGCAAAACCACGCATAGGATCCACATGACAGCACCACAAACTCTGACGGAAGAAGTCAAAGATCTTCCTGCCGTGGTCAAAATTCCAGTAGGTTATTTTGGATTCCAAAATTTATCTGGAAAGGCAAAAACTCAGAACAGCCAACACTGCCGAAGGGAGATCACGTGAGAGGACTGAATCTGCCCCATAGACTCACCATGAGACTACAATAACCAGGAGTCTTACAGGTCCTGAGACCTTGCTAAATGAAGGCCACAAGCAACTCCCGCTTTGTCAGGGTTGAGAGGAACAAATATTTTAGAGCAGAGTCTGGTGTAGGGGGTTTGTGTGGATGTTAGACATGGTGAGGGAAAACAGAATTTAGGCCCTGCCTCTGTTTTCTTTTTTTTTTTTTTTAAAGTAAAAAGGTTTATTTTGGCTCAGAGTTGAAGGTTTTTGTTTTTTTTACTTATTTTTTTTATTGGTTGTTCAAAACATTACAAAGCTCTTGACATATCATATTTCATACATTTGATTCAAGTGGGTTATGAACTCCCATTTTTACCCCGTATACAGATTTTGCCTCTGTTTTCAAGTAGGCACATACACTCAGGCACAGAGAGATTAAATATTTGTCTATAAGATTCAAGTAGAAACAAAGCCCCAGTTCTATTCAGGAAAACCTAGGTAACTGGGGCTTGGCAAATGCTTTTTATTTCCCCATAATTTTGTTTTGTTTTTGGTATTGGGATTGAACCCAGGAGAACGCTACCTCTGACTACATCCCAAGCCCTTTTTTATTTTGAGATAAGTTCTCACTAATTTGCTTAAAGTCTCAATAAGTTTAACTAAGGATGGCCTTGAATTTAGAATCCTCCTACCTCAGCTTCCAAGGAGCTAGGATTACAGGTATGTGCCACCACACCCTGTTTGGCAATTACACCAGCAGGGCAGGCACATGCCCACCCCACCCCCATAATCCCAGGGACTCACAAGGTTGAGGCAGGAGGATCGCAAATTCAAGGTCAGCCTTAGCAACTTAGCAAGGCCCTTAGCAACTCAGTGAGACCCTGACTTTAATAAAATATAAAAAAGGGCTAAGGGGCGGCTCAGCAGTTAAGCATGAGCACTCCTGCATTAAATCCCCAGTACTAAAAAAAAAGAAAAAGAAAAAAAGTAAAAACAACACCAAAAAGTAGGATCCATGAGTGAAAACACTGATAAGCTGGATATCACCAAAACAGAAAACTTCAGCTCTGCAAAAGATCAACAGCTGGGCACGATGGTGCATGCCTGTAATCCCAGCAACTCCAGAGCCGAGGCAGGAGGATAGCAAGTTCAAGGCTGGCCTCAATTTATTGAAGCCCTAAGCAACTTAGAAAGACCCTGTTCAAAATAAAAAAATAAAAACAGCTAGGGATGTAGCTCAATGGTTAAGTGCCCCTGGGTTCAATCCCTGGTACCAAAAAAAAAAAAAAAAAGATATTCTCAATAAAATGAAGACAAGCTAGAGTGGAAGGAAATATTTGCAGAAAGCACATCTGATAGGGGCTGGGGATGTGGCTCAAGCGGTAGTGCGCTCGCCTGGCGTGTGTGCAGCCCAGGTTCGATCCTCAGCACCACATACAAACAAAGATGTTGTGTCTGCCGAAAACTAAAAAAAAAATATTAAAATTCTCTCTCTCTCTCTCTTAAAATAAAAAAAAGAAAAAGAAAGCACATCTGATAAAAAAAACCTGGCACCTAGGGCTGGGGTGATGGCTCAGTGGTAGAGCGCTTGCCTAGCACATGTGAGGTACTAGGTTCGATCCTCAGCACCACATAAAAATGAAATAAAGATATTCTGTCCACCTACAACTAAAAAATAAATATTAAAAAAAAAAAAACTGGCACCCAATACATGCAAAACCTTGAACTCAACAATCAGGAAACAGACAATTCAACTATAAAACAGGCCAAAGACTTAACAGATACCTCATCAAAAAACAGATATACAAGTGGGCATGGTGGTGCATGCCTGTAATCCCAGCAGCTCAGGAGGCTGAGGCAGGAGGATCGCAAGCTCAAAGCCAGCCTGGGTAACTTAGTGAGGCCTGTCTCAAAATAAAAATAAGAAGGACAGGGGATGTGGCTCAGTGGTAAAGCACTTGCCTAGCATGTGTAAGATCCTCAGTTACACTCCAGTATCAGAAAAGACAAAACAGACAACCAGCTTTTCCCTTCAGTGCCGCTGCTGAAGTGGCCCTGACTAAGAGGGAGCTCAGGCCTCAGGGCCCTGCCATGTGCACAGGAGGATCTTGCAGTCAGTCCACTTCCCAAAGAACTGAAATGGACGTAGTGGTTGGCCTGTGCCCTTCTGAGGGGATGAGGAAGTTGCTCACGAACTCAACAAGGGCCAGCAAACTGGCAGAGCTGTCAGGCTGGCAGGAAGAAAAGCGCCATCACACTGGGAAGGAGCAACAGAAGAGGCTGATGGCACAGATGGTCCTCACCAGGCTGAAACCGGACAAAGGCAAGGGCAAATGCACCGAGAAGCTGCAGGAACACAGTCACCTCAGTCACTCATGTACAGCTCCACAGAAAACTGCCCAGACAAGGGGAAAACACACCTAACCCTGCACCATGGGGACTGAGGGAAAACCCACACCACTCCACCACCGGACCCCTGACAACGCCAAGGCTGGCGAGGGTGTGCAGCAGGACTCTCTCTCATTGGAAATGGTGGAAATGCAGAAGGACTCCACAGACAGCCTGTGGTTTTTCACAAGACAACATAGTCCAGCCTGGTGACCACACTCCTGGCATTAACCACTCATGGCAGCTTTACTTGTAATTGCCAAACTAGGAACAAACAGCACGCTTGTAGATGACAGGATAGAAAAACAGTGTATACCAACAAGGGAGCACGGTCCAGCACTGAAAAGCAGCGCAGAGGTGGAGGGCATGCTCAGCAAGCGTGAGGCCCTGGACATGGCTCCCAGCATGGCAGAAAAGAAAATGGGGAAAGAAATGAAACACGTTACCACACAGTGAAAGATATGCAGGCCCCAACTGCACCCTGTGACAGGCCAGGCTGGACAGTGCATGCTGCTGGCAGAACTGGAGCTGCCAGAGGCACGGCAGGGTGCCCAGAGGAACACAGGGGCTTTTGGAGCAGCTCTAGACGTGATGTGGACATGTGTCACTCACTGTATTTTGTCAACACCCACAGGATGCTGGCATGAAGGGGGAGCCCAATGTCAACCACCATCAGCTGCAACAACATGCCACTTCAGTGCTCAATGTGGACACTAGAAACCTGGGGGGAGGCTGCAGTGGGGGAACTCCACCTTCCCTCAATTCTTCTATAAATCTAAATACACTAAATAAAGTGTATCAATGTTTTAAGTCTAACAAACCATCTAGTTACATGATCATATCAAAATCAAAGGCCACGAGATACTAAGAATCAAAAGGAGAGAAAAGCTGTTAGGGCAACGTCCGTCAACGTGAAAGGACAGCGATGGCACCAAGGCCACACACGTTAGGGAGGAGGAAAAGCACCGCAGGCCCACACCAAGGGGAGCCCTGGAGAAGCAGCCTGCACAGGATCCAAGGCGTCTCTCAGCTGTGATGGAAGGTACCTTCCACAGCCTGGCCGAGTCCCACCACAGCAGCACATGCTGAATTCACCCTACAACATGACTTCCCTTCAAGCCCAAGACCACAGACCTGCCCAGACGGAGAGGGCAGGCCAGATAGCCCAGTCGGAGCTGGGAGAAGACTGTGCTGTAAGGACCTGGCACACAGTGGCCCAACAAGGGCTGAGGTTAGTGGCATTCAGCTGACTCCCACGAAGGCACTTGCCTGYGGGCTGGTGCAAGCACAGCACACCATCCCTCTCAGCCACATTCAGGAAACAAGAGGAGCAAACAAAAGATGAGAACAATTAAGGGATCAGAGGAGAAGCAGGTCTACCTCCTGCTGCTTTGTAACTTTCCTGTAACTGTGAAATCAAGGGAGAAGTTTGACAAAGTGTAGTAGTAATGGAATATTCCACATAGTGTTAGAGTAACTGCCAACCTCAAACTGTATCTCAGACGTTCTTGAAATAAATAAAAAAATTACAATAAACAAATTAGACATATATGTTTGACCATTTAAAAAACAGAGAGTATTTGTTTTGAACAACCAATAAAAAAAAAAAAAAAAAAAAAAAACAGAGTACGGCAAGGCATGGTGGCACACACCTATAATCCCAGTGACTTGGGAGGCTGAACAGGATTCACAAGTTCAAACCAGCCTCAGCAACTTAGCAGGACTCTTGTCTCAAAATAAAAATTAAAAAGGGTGGGGATGTGGCTCAGTGGTAGGTCACTGTAGATCCCATCGCTAGTACCAAAAAAACAAAAACAAAAACAAAAAATCGAAGGCTAATGTTCATATCCCTGAAAAGACAAAAAGAACAAAGAAACTGGAGAAAAATATCTATAACATAAGACACAGAAGTATTTACTAAACTTAAAATATGTCATCAAGAAGAAAATCCATCCTAGCAAAACTTCAGGCCAGGATTTGAGTGGACGTGGCACAGAGGACAGATGTGTTCTGTGCACATGAGGACGGAGGGCTCCAACCAGTGCGCCCTGCATGTGCTACCCGCCTCATAGCCACATGGGGCCCAGGCAGTGGGAGAGCTGGGGGGTAAGGGTGTCACAGACAATACCTAGTGGGAGAATCTAGTGACGGGTAAAAAGGGTAGCTGGAAGGCAGAGGTCGAGACCAGGAGCACAGAGGCTACTGAGTAGGTCACCGTGGGACAGCCGTGCCCACTGCCATGCATGCCGAGGACAGCTCTGGTCACCAGGCCCATGGGAAGTACTACAGAGCCACACCCTCCCAGGACCAGAGGAGTGGCTGGCTCTTTTCCCAGCCACTGGGGATAGCTTCCTTTCTTCTTTACACTTTTGTTTGTTCCAAGTCTTCTTTAAAGAACATGCTTCAGTTTAATCACAGTAATTCTTAAAAGATGATGAGTTAATAAGAAGGGTCCATCCAGAGAGCACAGCTAAGACAGCTAGAGCTCAGGAGTAAGGGCCACATCACACAACGGAGCATCATGTGGCCAAGGGCCGTACCAGCCTGGGTGTTCGGCCTGGGTGACCAGAACAGGGCCACGCGCTCCACACAGCTGCACCTGCCTGTCAGGACAGAAGCTGCCTTGGTGCTCAGGGCCTGCACCAAGATCCTCAGAACATACTCCTGAATGACTCAGGGGCCAGAGAAGAACTCTTAACCAAGTGATAGCTCAAAACTTATTCCCAGCACCAGCTGCGTGTTCAAACAGAAGAAACCTGAAAGTCACTTATTTAAGTATCCAAGTTAGAAAAACAAAGAAGAGAGACAATAATCAAGAGCAGAAACAGATGAGAAATAAACAGACATCCTGGGCAGAAATGAAGACTAACGATGGCTTCTTCCAAAGGCTCAGCAAGTGTCAGGAAGGACATGAAGTGCTCAAGTGGGACAGTGGGACAACTGGGCCATGGCCCACACCAGCTGAGATGGAAATCCCAACACTGATGCGAAGAGCACCCAGTCCTTACAGTCCTCCATCAGAGAAGGCAGATCTACAATTAAAAATCTCTGAGACAAGAGGGCTGGGGATGTGGCTCGAGTGGTAGAGCACTTGCCTAGCATGCATGAGGCACAGGGTTCGATTCTCAGCACCTCATAAAAATAAAATAAAGATAAAAAAAAAAAATCTCTGAGACAACTCTGGGCCCAAATGGATTCTCAGTGAATTGTTATAAACATATAAGGGAGAAATAGCATAAACATGGCATTATTACTTATTCTTCCAAAGAGTATTTAAAAAAGCATTCTCACTGGCTTTATGAGTCCAACATCATCTTAACAGAAGTTGATAAGGACATTAAAAGAAACAAAAATTATAGTTTATCCCATAACCACAGATGTAAATATGTTAAACAAAACATTCTTTAAATTCTGCAATATAAAAGAACAATACACCTTGGCAACGTTGACCTATATCAGATTTAACATTCAAAAACAAATAATTGGCCAGGCACGGTGGCACGCGCTTGTAATCCCAGCAGCTTGATCAAGAGTTCAAAGCCAGCCTCAGTAACTTAGCAAGGTGCTAAGCAACTCAGTGAGACTCTGTCTCTAAATAAAATACAAAATAGGGCTGGGATGTGGCTCAGTGGGCTAGTGCCCCTGAGTTCAATCGCCAGTAAGAAAAAAAAAAAAAGAAAGAAAGACAGAACAATGAAAATAAGCAAAGAACCTGCAGAATCTGCGTGCCCTGTAATGACCCTAGAACACAGCAATGCCACACCTATGCCCACACCCACAAGAATAGGTACCCATGTGCCTCCAAAAACAAGTACAGAATTTTCACAGAAGGATGTTTCATAAAAACAGGCATTGAAGCTGGGCATAGTGGTGCATGCCTCTAGTCCAGCTACGGAGACCAAGGCCAACCTGGGCAACACAGTGAGGCCTCAGCTCAAGAAAAAGGACCAGGAGCAAGTGTTCATAATACACGGGGGCCAGGGGGCGGTGGGGGAATGTGGCAACTGCACTCAGCCAATAGTTGCCATTGTCCCCAGCTCWCACACACCAGGAATGGGATGGTGTGCCTGCAGGATGCCACAGGCAGCAGCTTGAAGCAAACAACGGGAAGCTGGAGGGGGAGAAAAGGAGGAGAATCACAACCCTTCTGAATTACGGCTGAGGGGTCCTCAGCCCCACACATGCACTGCTGAATGCAGGGACCACAGAAATCCCCATGCTCAGACAGTCCATTCTCCACAGCAGCCTGGCACAGGTAGCTAGGCCTATATCAGAGAATGACGTCTCCAGCCTAGGCCCTCCTCACCTGATTTCCACTGCTCTGTAGTCTGGACAGTGCTTGTGGAAAAGCCTCAGTGCCTGCATCACTGCCGAGGTGCACTCCACGTACGTGTAGTCGATCATGATATCCCCTGGCAGGGGTAGGGAGGACGAGGCCTGTGACTTGCCGCACTGCCCAGGACCCACAATCCAGTCCAAGTGACCATCAGCAAGGGCAGCACAGCATGCAGACCCTATGCCTAGGCAGGACCCTCTTGTGGCTCAGGCTGCGTGGTTCAGGGCCCAAGCAAGGTTTGTTCAGCTGTGAGGTATGCAAGGTAGGGCAAAGAGGGGTGCTGCCCAGGACAAGTGACACACAGAAAACAGTTGCATCCCTCCCCCAAAGTTTGATAGGTTGAGGAGTGAGATGACAGAGGCCACCAAGGAGGTGTATAGCAGGTGCCCCAAGGTCACTCAAGAGCGCAGCAGCATGCAGACCTGATCCAGCAGCCCACGGCATACACCACAGGCTCCCACACAGTGCCACAAGTGCCGTGAGCACCATGAAGCCTCTGAAGATGCATAGCAGTTCCACACAAGCAAATTTGCACAATCAAGAGCCAGCCAGGCTGAGCCAGGGAGTCCAGTGAGAATTCCACCAGTGGCCCCAAGACAGAGCCACAGCCCTTTCATCCAAAACCCAAGCACCCTGCCACCCCAACTAGGGAAAGGTCCTCAGGCTCTGCCAGCACCTGGGGCCCAGATCTGTGCACTGTACTTCTGGTCAAACACTCACCAAAGACCTCAGATGGGTTCAGCAGTTCCAGCAAGTGCCCCCCACGCTTGGTCTCATAGGTGGCGAATCCTCCGTCAGGATTCCTCATGTTCAACAGCTGAAATCAAGAGCATGCTCAGAGTCCACAGGCCAAGATGAGCTTTCTAGAAGCACCCCAGGGCTGAAAACCAGGAATGAGAAAGGGGACAGGGAGATGGTGTGCATGCTGGGCAAGCCCTTGGGTGCCCGGTACAGTCGCTACAGCCACAGCAGTCAGGGCCTCACATAGCCGCCCAGAGACAGGTGCTCATCAACTCAAGAGTCACATCAGTGTTGGAATGGTGCAGAGCTCCAAGAGGTACAGAAGAACCAGGCTGCTCAGAGGACAGCACAAAACCAGCAGAAGCTCTCATCTTTCTTTCTTGCACCAGAAAGGACCACATCCCTCCCAAAGGAGGCTCACATGGATGCACAGCAGGTCCTGACACTCAGAGAAGGGTCAGGAGCCACATGGCTTCCCTTGGACCCGTGGCCAGGCAGGCACCAGCTCCTGCAGCACAGGGCTCTGTGCACACAGCCAACCAGGCCTCATGGGCCAGCCAGGGTTCCAAGGTCACCTGAGCATCTGCTTCCACAGCTGGCATCAGCTGAGCCCTGGGGGTGGAGAGAGATCAGAGTGTCCTGGTGGGATGGGGCAGAGCCTCACCACAGCCACAGCATCGCAGAGCCTCTGTCGGGGGATGTGCTGGGTGATAGAGGGACACTTCTCCTGCAGGAGCAGCACAGACTTCAAGGCCTCGGCTGTGCAGTCAGCGACAATCCAGCCGCAGTCCAGAGTGCTGAAGCAGAAGCCGCCCTGCAGAGTGGGAACATGAGCTCCCCTGCCTTGGCCTCTCTCAGAGTCACCAGTCAGGTCACTGTCCATCTGGACAGACCTACAGCTCTAGCACAGGGAGCCCCAAGGCTGAAGCCCTACGCTGGTCACTCTCAGATCTCCACACAGGATTTCAATGCCATGAAAAGGCAGTGGCTGTCCATACACTATAAGAAGGCAAGCCTCAGGTCCACAGCCTGCACCCAGAGTTGGGAGCCTAGCAACAGCCCTGCATCCCTTCTTCCCTCTGCCTTCCCCTCAACACTCTGGCTCACATTCAGCCCTTGACTCAACTTCTGTGTGTACTATGCCACCAACTGCCCCGAGGCATGGCCACATGTGTGCACGGACTGCCCCACAGCCTTGGCGACTCAAGCATTGGTCCCCTCACCAGGCATCTGCAGAACAGGAAGGCCGAGGACCCAGGGAGAGCTCTCCTCAAAGGGAAGGACAGGCTGAGCTGGGGTGTGGGTGGGCTATGCAAACATACCTTGTTCATTTGGCGGTAGTACTTCTTGTAGTCAGGAGGGTTGTCGGGGACCTGGGCAGAATGGACAGCACATGTAGAAAGTGGACAGGCACATGGCCACAGGGCCACACTACTGTCTGAGAACCAGAGTTCCAGCCAGCCTCTGCCACCACCAGTGCAGCAAGGCACATGAGGCAAAGCTGTGTAGCCCACAGCCATGGCTGCCACTGCTCGGCAAGAGGCTCAACCAAAAAGCTGGACATCCACTCTGAAGTCCCAGCCACACAGACTCTCTACTCCTGAGCCAACAGCTCAGCTTGGTGGGAACACAAACGGGTCTGTGTGTGCGTGCTACATTCTGTTCAGGGCACTTCTGGGTAGCAGCCAGAAGCAGGCCCTGCTGTAGGAAAGGTGCAGTGCAAACAGCTCCACCAGCCCTAGACAGACACAGATTGTGGCCACATGAAGGCCCCCTGAAGCAGCATCCTTGTGAGATCTGAGAAGAGGCAGGGCACTCCAGGTAGGCGCTCCAGGTAGGGGTCGCCATTGGAACCAAGGCTGGAAGTAGCTACTGTGGGCGCTACCCGAGGGCAGGGTATGGGGGGCTGGCACAGGAGAGCAGGACATGATGGGGCCTGCAGAATGGGGTGGCAGGCAAGAGTGAGAGACACTGAAAACATCCAAGTGGAGACTTAGGGTAGCATGACTGATCTAGCAGGACAGATGGTAGCATGGTCTCGGGAAGAAAGCCACTGGTTAGAGTCCTCCACTGGCACGGGATGCCTCAAATGTGCTGGGGGCAGGAACAGGACGAAGAGCTCAGGGAGGCAGCTCCTGATAACACATGGGCTAGCCAGCCTCTGCACACCGCCACACCAGCATGAAGGCAGAAGCTATCAGCTGGTGGTGATGGGCCACTACCGGCTATGGCAAGGGCTGCCCTAAGGTGACTAGGGTGGACAGAGGAGACCTAGGGGCTAGAAAGGGCAGGGTGGGGGTGACTGAGAAACCAGCCTGGGGAGGCAGGGCAGAGGGACGAAGAGCCATGGGCCTCACCTGTGACAGCCGCAGGAACTCATGTGCCTTCTGCAGGCAGGACATAAACTCTGGCCTGTGGTGAGCGCCTGCCTGGGAGACAGCAGGACAGCATGGCTGAGCCAGTTCCCAGCTAACCTGGTGGCAGCCCGCCCCCACGGACAGTCACCTTGACAGTCTCCAGAGAGTGCTAGGGCTTCCCGCTGCACTAACCTCTAAAAGACCAGTGAGTCGTGACAAAGGAAGAATTGGTCAGAAGGGATAATCCCACAGATGCCAGGGCCAACATCTGTGCGGGATTCCACCAACGTCCTTCACTTCCCCTCTGTGCCTTCAGCACAGAGGCACCCTCTTTCTTCCCCAGCACATGCCTGAAAACTTGTACAAGCTTGTACTTGTACTTATTCTAGAGGCCCCAAACCAACTGGCTCAGGGGTCACCTGCCTATGGCTCCCTATGGCAGGGCCAGCACCTCTGCAGCATGTCACACTCTGGAACCAGGCTAAGGGGACTCTCAAGGACAATGTGGGTGGTCAGCTGTGCTATGCCCCTTAGGTGGACACATGGCCTGTGCACATAGGAAATTAGGTGGAGGATGTAAAGGAGATAGTCACATACCTCAAGCAGAGCTTGGATGGCAAATGCGGTATCCCAGATCTGTGAGCCATTGGTACCCTAAACACAAAGGAAGAGCGGTGGCAGAAGCCACCAGCAGCACCCACTCCACCTTCCACATCCCAGGATCTGAGGGGGTCAGAGGCTCCTGCCCTGCTGACACCCACACCAGCTTCTGAGACCTGGGCACCCTCACAGCCAATGAGAGCACAAGGTCCTGCAGACAGGACCCACCTGCTTCCACAGGCCTCAGCCACTCACTGCACTTCTAAAACCACAATCCCTCAAGGGCTCCTCCATTCCCATAAAAGCAGTGTACCCTGTCATGGAACAATCAGAAACACTCCCCATTTCCTACTACACCTGGAGTAGGGGAACCCAACAGAGACACCAACTTAAGCTGGAAGGCCCACTTCAAATCCCACCTTGAGAACTGGTTTCCAGACAATACCCCAGTCTCAGTACAGGAGGCAGGTGGCCAAATCCCAGTGAGTTTGTTCAGGGATCTCTAAAATGTCTGACAGAAGCCWAGGCTTCACCCCACAGGGCAGTCATAGGCCCCCAGCTCTCCCTGGACTCATCAGGGGCCAAGGACCAAAATCAGCCCCCTCTGCCCAGAAAGGAACACAACTGCTATCCATCTATCAACCAGAGTCCCAGGAAGAATCTGAAAAGACACTGTCCACATGCCATGTGCTATGTCCAAAGAATACCTTGTCCTTTCCCTGGGTGGGTAGTCACACGTGTCCCCACCCACACTCTTTGGGTTCCTGCAGAGAGGAAGTCCTGTGGTACTCCCACGTCTGGCCACACCCCACAGACCCACAGGCTTCTCCCCTACCCAGGACTGCAGAGAAAGACTCCCCAGAATGATCCAGGAGCTGAGGACACAGAGCTCCCAGAGACCTGCTAGAGGAACAAGCACATGGAGAGAGTCCCACACCAACCAGAGCCACCCTCTCGTCACAGTAATGGACGAGAACATCTGCAGGGTCTGAGCCACGTTGTTGGAGGGGCTAAGCCGCCCTGACCAACAGGGCCAAGAGCAAACACTGATGCTATAGATGTATGTGCAAGAATGTGTGGTGACCAGAGACCAAAGTGCCCAGGAAGCTCCCAAGGCCCTGCACAGACACGAGGACTGCAGGGCAGCTTCTCCCCCCACTGCCAGACTGATCCTGGGGAGGACTACTTCTGAGTCTTAGTGAGCCCAAAAGGATAAAAAATAAAGGGCAAGACTGTTGCAGAGAAACCAGCAGCCGCAGCCCCCAGCCCTTACCTGCATTTTCATGCCATCCAGACCCAGCCTGTGAAGACGAGAAGCCCGTGTGAGACAAGCAGGGAGCGGGAGGGCACCAGTTAGTGATGGCCACGCTGGGAGGGAGCCCGGGCCCAGAGCACCCATGCCTGTCCCTGAGACCTGCCAGTGGCCTTAGCGCTGCCCAGCTGGGCTCATAGGCACAGGGCACACACGGCAGGAAAGAAGTCAACAGTTTCCCCAGCAGGGGGCATGGGAGGCCCTGAGACCAGGTCACCCCTTTGGTCCTCACACAGCACAGCATGAGGGAGGATGGCCTCAGGAGCACAGGGCTTCCTACCAAGGTCCCCTGACTGTCCCACCTCAGAGGACAGTCCAGGTAGACAGGCCCATAGGTCCACAAGCTTCTTCACACCAATCCAAACTCGCTCCCATCCCTCCACAGCTTCCTGGCTCGGCCTTCCAGACCAGCCCCAACTGCTGCTAGGTGGCAGATCTTCCCCAAGACAACCTCACCAGAGCTCCTGGGTCCAGGCACCCAGCGCCCCTCACTGGACACTGAGGGGTGACCCTACATCACCCTGTGTGTCTATAGTCAGCACCCAACATTGCCACCTCCCAGCTGCACTCACCAGAGATAATCTGGGATCCTAGAGACATGCTCCTGGAAAGCAGAGGAGGCCGGCCCTTCCACAGACCAGCGCACAAGCATGTTGATGGTCTTTGAGATCTATGGGAGATAGAGCCATCAGGGCCTGCCCAAACACACCCCAGGGCCCAGCAGGACCCTTCTGTGTTAACAGGAGCTGGGTCAGCTGAGGTCACCAGCAGCAGGGGGTGTGAAGAAGGGATTAGGCACCATCAGGGGCTTATCTAGACCCTATGGGGCTGGCCTACCTCAGAAGAGTGGCAGCCATCACAGCCCACCTCACTACCCCTACTGTCTGCTAGCTGTGAGCCTGCCTTCATCTGGCTCCCCACCAGTCCCATCTTCTCTGGTCAGTATGCCCTGACCATGGGGCATATAGAGCTGCCTTATGCTCCTTAAGGTCCCTAAGTATGCATTTAACCAGTATCCACCAGCCCCCAGCCCCAGGCAGCAGAACAGGCTGTGAAGGCAAGGCAAGTGGTACAGCAGTGGAGAGGGCCGAGGAAAAGCAAGGGCCCTGCTGCTGCCATCCTAGGGCGCCTCAAACCCTGAACCACAGGGCAGGTGTGGGTCATCTGGGGTGGGGACCAGGAAGGAGACAGGAGAGGAAAAGCTGGCTCAAAAGCACAGGTAGCCTCAAGGAGCAGGCGTCTACATGCAGGTAGGAGGGCAGACTGTGCCTAGGTGGCAGCTTCACCAAGCCCAGGGCACAGGGGTGAGGGCAGGAGTCCTCCACACATTTGAGACCAGGTCTTGTCCCAAGTAGAGGTGTGCTGGGTTCGAGGGAGAGCCCCTACTCCCAGTTCCACAGAGACGGGGAGGGGCAGGGTACTGACCGGGCCAATGCTGATGCACTTGGTGAAGCGGTCGTCTGCAGCAATGTGCTCGTATAGCAGTTGCACTGCCCGCCGCCGCAGGCTGGGGCTGTGGTAGCGCTCATACAGGTTGAGGAGGGCTGTGGGCAGCAGAGAGCAAGGCCGGCCTAGCCCACAGCTCTGCACAGCACACCCACCGCCTCCCGCAGGAAAGCATAACCTCTCCTGTCCAGGAGGAGCTACTTCACATCTCCTGCTGCCCTGCTCCACTGCGGTGACATTTAGGGGCACCCCATCCCCTAGTGCAGGGCAGGGCTGCAAGAAGGGTGCTCAGTGGAAGAGGATGATGAATGGCCCCTTGGAGGGCACCCACCATATGTGACACGCAGCAGCCAGCTGTGTGGTGTGTACTGCTCTTCATGGGCCACGTTGTTCCTCTGTGCTGGCCAGTTGATGCTGGCATAGTCCTCCACATAGAGCTCCTGGGGACAGGGTCATCTGAGCCACTGGAGGTGAGAGGGTATAGGACTGCCTCCCAGAAACAGAGGCCACCTAACTCCAATCAGGGTGGCCTCCAACCACCAACCTTCAGGGCCCTGGGTTCACCTGCACCTTGAGGTGGGGCATACCCAACAAAAGACAGGGTGTGAAGGCCAAGCCACTGTCAGCCTCAGCCTCACCAGAGCCACTGAGGAGCTATCCAGCTCTGAGAGCTACTTCCCCACCCWCTCCTCCTTCTAAAGGGCAAAGTCCAATATACATTCTGCAGTCCAACCCCATCTCAGGGCCACTTCCAAGGACAAAACTGCAAGTATGGGTGAGGGTTCATGTGGTTAAATCCCAGGGGGACCCCAGCTCTGGAGGCTGGCAAGGTCCCTCAGGATCCGAGGACTCACCTGGCGGAGGCTCTGGACCAGTGGGTCCTCTGAGGCGCTTAGCCGGATGGCGTAACAGTAGCTCATGGGGAGGTAGACCTGCCGACAGTGGCACCAGAGTGTGCAGGGGTGCGCGGGCATCCAGTCAGGAAACAGCCTAGGGGACAGCATGTGTCAGTGGCAGACCCCAGCACACAAGCCCAACCCCCTTCCAGCCTCAAGGCCAGGGCCCTTCCGAGCATGGGCAGCAAGTAGATGGCTGTAAGGTCATGCTGGTGCATGCTGGCATTCATAGCTATGTCCCCAGGGTGCAGCAGGCCTGTGCGTTCACCCTCCATGGAGCTCATGTCCCCTGCCTCTAAGTCCCACAGTATCACAAGACAAGGGAAATGAAGTGGGGGTCTACAGAACCCTGGGATATGTGCAACTTTTCTAAAAATAGAAAACTACCTGCAAATTAAAGTTACTTTAAAAAGTATATTTTCAAAACTTTAGGCCTGTGGGCTTTCCTAGCTTGGGTCTTTGTCTCTGATGGCATAGCCATTCCAGCTGCTCAGGCAGCATGCACCTGGCTGTCCCACACTCTCCTCTGGACCCCTATCCTTATGCATTAGAGAGTCACAGGAAGCTGCGCAAGCTGAGTGCCCCTGCCAGCTCCCCACCTAGAGCATCAGGCCTCTGCCACCTCTACCCTTCCTGGGCCTGTCCACTCACTCCAGAGCACATCTCAAAAACTGGATAGCACTTCCAGTTTTTCTGCAATGGGAGTGGCTCAGGGTCTCTGGTCCATCCCACCCCACCCTTCACCCTCTAACCCACCCCCAAACCAACTCCAGCAAAGAGCTGTAGCAATGTTGTGACTACAGATACTGGAACTGACCAATAGAGCCCCCTAGTGTGGGAACACAGGCTAGCCACCCGCTTCTGCCCCAGGGCCTTCCTCTGCCTGTTCCTCACACAGGAGAGTGTCCAACCTGGCCAGGTGCCCATAGTAGATTACTGAATGCCAGCCTGACCCAGAACACCTCAGGTGTCCCCAGCAGAAGCAGTTCTGTCCAACCCCATCACTCAGTGTCTACCCTCCCTCCCACTTGTCACCACTCAACCTGGGGTGGTGATAAGCCCTCAGGCCTTGCTTTAGGACCCTGAGGCTCACTCTTGAGCCACCCCCTTCCCCTCCTGCCTCCTCCCACCAAAGTCATCTTCCATAGGACCTGTTCCCATAGCTCTCCCAGGAAGACAGCAGGGGCTCTTCCTGGGCTTTGTGCAGTTCTGGGGGCCTCATCTCCTAATATGTATAACACCAGGAGCAATTTACATGCCAAGAATGTTTTCCAGGGAGAGGGTACTATCTTTCAAGATCTCACAAAACATTAACATTGACTCCGCTGGGCAAATGGTAGGTGGTTCTGTCAAAACAAACTTAAGGGCTGGGTATGCAGCTCAGTGGCAGAGTGCTTGCCTAGCACACACAAAGTCCTAGGGATTGAACCCAGGACCTTGTACGTCTAGTACTTTCTGAACCGCCAAGTGGGAATACATGGCTGGGGCAGCTTAGGCTTGGTCCAGAGAGGGTAAAAAGGGAGCCCGACTTCTCACACCCTCACCACCTTCTCCAGGTGCATATAGACATGGGCTGCCATGTTCATCTGGGCCCATCCCTCATCCAACAGTTTCTGAACTTTCTAAGCATTCACTATAAACCAGACAAGGGGAAAGAGAGGAACAGTGATTGCCTGAACACGGAGCCTGGGTGAAGGGCACCTCTTTCCTCTACTCTCCTATGGTGCTCAAGATTTCCCATAATCACCAGATATGACCTCTTGTCTACACCATAAAACCCATGCTTCCTACTGAGTCATGTGATTCTGTAGTCAGCCCAGCAGCACCCCSACACCTGCCATACATGTGGCCTATAGCCTGAGTTGGTACCCCCTTCCTGTCCAGCAGGGAACCCCTTCCATCCATCTGTGGGGCTCAGCATAGGAAAGGCCTCTGCTAGGAGCATGATCCCCCACCCCCACCCCCACCCCATCACTCCACCAGAGAAGGAAGTGTCACTAGCAGAAAGCAGGCCTACCACATCTCAGGGAACAGGGTGTTGAGGCCTTCCCAGCTGTAGACGTTCAGGACCGCCAGCCAGAACTTCCCCCAGGAAGGGATAGCCACAGCACCACCTGGGAAGAAAACAGGCCCACATACCTGTCCTGTCAGCAGAGCCCACCCTACTTGTGAAGACTGGCTCACAACACTTACATGTCCCCCTTCTTATGTGAACTGAGGGAAGCCTGCCACAGATCCTGCAACTCCCATAGGAGAAGCAGGGTCCAGAGCCACCCAGGACATCACAGCTGATGGGTGGAACCCATGGCTTTCCCAGGAGCAAGCATGTCTAACAACAGGAGAGCTATTTGCAGCCCTTACCCTTAGGAAGGAGCACATGAAGGCAGTACCTAGGAAGAAGGGGGATGTGTCATTRCTCAGGCAAGAGATGGGCCCAGATACCCATGATGGCCCACATCTATACGCGCCTGGAGAAGATGGTGAGGGTGTGAGAAGTTGGACTCCCTTTTCTCTCTCTCTGGACCAAACCTAAGCTGCCCCAGCCATGTATTACTATATATTCCATGTATACTTAACACATAGTCCGGCACAGGTGAAAACGGGCCAGACCCCAGAGCAGATGCAACACTTATGGCCCCGCATCACAGCACATAGAAACATTGACTTGGACAAGTTTTATGAGGAGGCCACCCCAAACCCAGGTGTGCAAAATTCAAAAAAGACTCAAGAAGCTACCAGGCAAAGGATGGCCCAAATTCATTCCTCCATCAAGAAGGGAAGTGCACCTTGGGGCCCCAGACAGTAACCCTGTGACTTGTAGTCAATGCCACCAAAGGCTGACAAATATCTGAAGGGAGAATTCAGGGTCTCATGAAAATGTGTACAGGACACTTTAATTGGCATGGGAGAGCAAGAAGAAATGAAAAAAAGACACTGAGATGCTAGGTAAAGAATAAGTAAGGCAACAGGGTGGGGAGGAGTTAGAATGAAAGGATGTGGAGTGTGAGAGCCCTGAGGAGGGAAGGGGCTGAGGTACTGACCAGAGGCCCTTACACGTGGAGCAGAAAGCGTGACAGAGAGGACGGGGTGCGGAAGTCAGTGAGGGGCAGGGCCACACCAGGCTCTGCACTGCAACAACGTGAGCTACGGGGCTGGGGAGGTGGCTCAGAGGTAGAGCGCTCACCTAGCATGCATGAGGCACTGAGTTCAATCCTCAGCACCACATGAAAATAAAATAAAGATATTGTGTCCACCTGTAACTGAAAAAAATGAATATTTWAAAAAAAAAACAATGTGAGCTACACTTTGCTCTCAGAGCAGCTGGAGCCATGGAGCCTGCCCAAGGCTGCAATGGCCTTCAAAACCGAAAGGAAAGGGCAGAGGCAGCCAATGCCCCCAGGAGAATCAGAGTCCAGAGCTGCCTATGGCTGGGCTGCCTCCAGAAGGTATGTCCTGCAAGTACCAAATCAACATGTCGCTTTTAACCCTTTGCCAATTCATGACACAAACAGAATTATTAAGTCTTTTTAATTTGAAGAGCTGACCATTTCCACATGTTTTTGCTTCGACACATTCTTGTCCACATACTCCGTCCAATGTTTCAGCTAGAGCTACGTCTTTGATTCTCACCTGCAAGAACCTGTCAACCCAATGCCACATAAACCCATTATGCGCACATGCTGTGCAGCCTGTACCTTTCTGATGAAGAAAGTTCCGGGCTCGCACCAGGTCAGGATCATCAGGCCCAATGCCCAGGATTCTGAGAGCCACATAGTTGAGTGCAGTCCCAAACACTGTGGACTTGTCTTCAATGTGCCTATAGGATCAAAGGTAGAAAATGACCTCTATCATCACTTCCAAGAAAAATAGTAATGCTGGTAGTGAAGTTTGCCTAGAAAAGGAAGAATGTGAAAATACTTTCCTCTGACATGACATCACAACTCAGGAAGTACCACTCAGTTATTCCCAGGAGCTTGCTCAACTCCCATGATGATGGATCGGTACCCAAGCAGGACCCATCTGCCCTTCTGCTCACTTCCCATCCAAGTGGATGTGTCTGTCCAAGTCCACTGTGGCAGGGGAACCACACCCAGGAGGACTAAGCTGTCTTCCCAGAATGTGCACCAACCAGGAAAGCAAACTGGGATGAGGCCTGCTGTGCCCACCTGCATCTGCCACCACCCCAGAATCAAAGGCAACTTTCTTCTATGATGAAACACAGATGGCTTTCATAGGGCATGTAGGTCTCAGAAGTCCCCACCAGCCTTGAAACCCAGCCATAGCACAGGTGTGAAATGAAGCCCAGCACCAGCCTACTCCTCTCCACCCAGGTCCACAGCTGCAGTCCCCTCACCTTTCAATAGCAGCCTGGAAACTCAAGCAACACCTACCCAAGGTTACATGCATGCACACACACATACATGTGTGCAGCCAGGTATACTCACAGGCCCCAGCCACCATCGGGGAGCTGTACTGATCGCAGGTACCGTATCATCTCCTCTCTGTATCCAGCTGGCAGAGGGATGTGTGCTATGTGGCACGTGATCAGGAGACCTGCATGGCAGGAAGGATGTTCCTCACTGGGAGCAGGTGCTCAGCGCTGCTAAAACTGGACCCCTTTTCCTCCTGAGGACCCACCCTGACAGGAAGCTGCCCCCATGCATCTCCTTCCCATGGAAACAAGCCCAGGAAGGCCATTCTTCTTGGGGCCTCTTTGGGAGAGGATTCAAGGGAGCAGCAGCAGAGGTGGTGCTCCCACCCAGGACCTGCAGAAGCTGCCAGGCTACCCGAGTCACAGAAACACCAAACACTGCACCAAGTCTTAAAGAGGCCACCCACAGTGCCCTGAAGGCCTGACAGGGGCCATGGTTCAAGATCAGTGGTGGACAAGGGGAGGCCAGTCTTGCTTTAACACCTGTATTCTTCTGTTTTGAAAACTTTTTATAGTGGGGGAAACAACACTATCAACAAGGCCCTTTGTTCCCAGCCTGGTCTTCCTAGTATGCTGCTCCTAGGACACTCTCTACCCCCATGTCCTAGCACAAGAACAGTCTCAGAGCAGAGTTTCTAATCACACCTGTATTTGTGCAAGAATTCAGACCACTAAAACAGAAAGATTGCATGTCACTAGGGAAGAGGGTGCTAGTTGTAGATCTCCTACATTACAACACTGAGTGCTTCTTCAGAGAAACACTTCCAGGATACAAGATAGTCTTGTATAACCAGACCAGAGAGTGCCCAGGGGTCATACCCCTTGCCAGCCCAGACCTGAGTTCCCACTGCCACAACTCCCTCACATGCCCTTTCAGTGTGAGTTCACAGCAAACACCACAGCACTCACATGGACACCAAGTCCCCACCCACCACTCTGCCCACCTACCACACCTTGGCATAGTTTGGGCCCTCCATAGAGTTCCCCTCTCCCCCAGCACTGGGACTCAAAAGCCTCCTCCCCAGTCCCCCTGGTTCCCATATCAGAGTGCCTCCACTTCCGTCCCAGCACCAGAAGCAGGGTGACTGGGACTCTGGGAAACCCTCCCCACCCCTTCCCGTGCACTCATCTGTTTCACCAAGAACATAGACATGAAAAAAAAAAAAAAAGATAGAACCCCAGGATGATGCAGGGCAGTCTTGCGCTCTGGCTGGGACAGCAAGTTCCTACCTGGAAGGAGGAAGAGAGGGCCACCGTAATCACCTGCCCAGTGCCCATCCTCAGCTTGCAGTCCCACATAAAATGTTACTCCATTCAGAGCCCCTTCACGAGCTGTGTGAGCTTTGGGCAAGTCCTTAAAATAACTGCTCTGCAAAGGGACAAAAGAAATGAGAGTTGAAGGGGACTGCTGTCCAGAGGAGCCCTCCTAACCCACAGCCCAAGTCAAAAAAAATGAGTGTAGATTACTTTAAAGTTTCAGCTATTTTAATCAAGTATGAAGACAATTTAATACCTGAGTACAGTATGGTTCCACATTCTCACAATTTTACTATTCAGTCTCCTGCAAACTTCTTCACAACTTCTCTAAGATGTGTTTTTTTTTTTTTTTTTTTTTTTCCTATTGATACCAGGGATTGAACCCAGGGGCACTGAACCACTGAACTATATCTCTAGTCCTTTTTATTTTAAATTTTGAAACAGGATCTCTCCAAGTTGCTTAGAGCCTCACTACAGTGCTGAGGCTGGCTTTGAACTTGTGATCCTCCCACCTCAGCCTTCTGAGACACTGGGATTATAGGCATGTGCCACTACCCTAGGCTCTAAGATATCTTAAACACAGTACCTAGAGTGTGAACAGGGCACTGACACCCACTTGGGCCTGGAACTCCTGCCTTTCTCAGAAAGGGCCCAAAGGACTGCAGGCACAGCAGCTCCCCAGAAAGAGGTCTGGTGTTTGCTAGAGGTCAGGGCTTGGCAAGAAGCCAGCCCCTGTGTACCCGACCACTGAGATTAGCTGAACTTCTGTATATGGATGAACATAACCAGAACATGAGATCAAAGAACTTCTTTTTGTGAATAAATGGAAAAGTCACAACCACCTTTTGCAATTCTTCTGTATATCCAAAATTATTTCAAAATAAAGTGTTCAAAACAAAATTCTGGCAATTCCTCGCAGGGGTGGGGAATGAAGGGGCTGAAGCAAAGAGGACTCTTCTGAAACAGACTGAAATTAAGGACCCCTCTAAAACAGCAATTTCCTCGTGCTGAGAATAAAGTGCTGACAGGGCTGCACCCCCTGGCCTGACGGCCCGGAGCGGGCGCCACCGGCGAGCGGCCACTCACCGWGTCCAGCCCCAGGGAGTGGGCCTCCAGGCCGGTCTGCTGGCGSCCAGCGTCGTCGTCCTGGCCGCAGTACGTCCACGTCTGCCGCCCCAGCTCATTGCGGAGCCGCCAGCGGCTGAGGTCGGTGGCGGGCTCGGTTTTGTAGGGTCCCCCTCGGCGCCGCAGACACCTGGAGGACCAGCGCAGTGAGCGCCCGCCCSGCCGCCCCGCCCGGCCCAGGGGCGCCCACCCGGCTCCGGTCCGCGAACCCGCCGCCAGSGCCGGGGGACTCACGTGCCCTCCGTCATGACAGCTCCGCGCTCCGCGGAATCGCCGCGATCCGCCACTTAGATCTGATGGCACATCCCCGCCCCGCGCACTGCGCAGACGCGCGCCTCTGCTGACTGCACGGCCCAGTGGCCCGATGCCGCGCAGCCAATCAGAGCGCCACCAACCGGGCTCCTCGCGCCAGCTGCAGCGCTGGTGGGGCGCACGACAAAACACGCGGCCGGGGCGGGGCGCTAGGGGCGGGACTTGTGGGAGGGTCCTGCGAGGCGGGCAGCCCGGAGAGGCGGGACTGGGACCTGAAGGGCGTGGCTAAGGGGTCCAGTGGGCGGGGCGAGGACGGTGGGGGGCAGTGGGCGGGGCCAGCTCTTCCGGTACCTTCAGTCGCGGCGTCGGCCCCGGGCGTGAAAGGGCATGCGCCGTCCTATGGAGGGCGCCCCCGGGGCGGCCAGGAGGCTTGTGAGGAGGGTCCACGGGGTCTGGGAGACAGGAGTTTGGGGACGACCTCAGATTCCGAGAGCCTCGGGGGTGGTGGCGGGCAGTGTAATCACAGTGTAATCACTGTGGCCTGAGGTGAGTGCGGGGGCGTGGGGCTGGAACCCTGGGTCAAGGGGGATGGAACTCGGAGATGGGGGGGGGCGGGAGATGAGGGGGGGCGGGAGATGAGGGGGGGCGGGAGATGAGGGGGGACGGGAGATGAGGGGGGACGGGAGATGAGGGGGGACGGGAGATGAGGGAGGGCGGGAGATGAGGGGGGGCGGGAGATGAGGGGGCGGGAGATGAGGGGCCGGGGATCACGGGGGCGGGAGATGAGGGGGGGCGGGAGCCCGGGGTCGGAGGGCAGGAGATGAGGGGGCCGGGAGCCCGGGGGTCACGGGGGCCCAGGGGTAGGGTGGACAGGCTTCGGGGGACCTCTGGGGTGGGCCGGAAGTTGGGCACCCCGGCCTCCAGCTGGACCAGCTGCCCCGCCCGCCCGCATCCCGGGAGGGCCCCCCACCTCCAGGTGCAGAGAGCAGGAACCTGGTCTCCCACCTGGAGTCCTGCACCAGGTGAGCGCAGGTCTCCATTAGAGAAGAGTCGTGTTGTTTTAGTGGACTGAACTTAGGAGGGAAAAATATCATTCTTTTTAATATACAAAGAAAAGAAAAACGTGAAACAGTCTTTGAGAATTCACAGGGCTACTTTGCCAGGGAGCTGTAAGAAGTCAGTGTTGGTGCCCACACCCTACAGGCTCACGGCTTTGGCCTGGACCATGGGTGTGTAGTAACACAGGGAAGGTTTGGTTGGAAATCTCAAGGTAAATTGGGGACATGTCGTGATATGTTTATTAAAGAGGAAATGTCCAGTAGGCTGGCATTCAAGTAGAGAGGAATTTGGTAGTCATCTGTTTTCATCATTTGAAATCGAAAGATTAGACTATCCGGGAAATCAGAGCTTCAGTAATCCCTGCGGCACCAACCTTTTCATGTCCAGGGGGTGAGAGTCAGGGAAGCCGGGTGAAGACCAGATCTGTGCTGAGGATTTGGAGGAATGTTAAAGGAGGACTGGGAATTGATGATTGGATGTGGCGAAACAATTTACTGGTGATTGACAAACTATCTCAGGAAACATGGGGAGAAATGACTAATGGCAGAATTTTTCTAAATTCTGATTAATTATGGAGTCTGAAAAGAGGTATTGACTTCCATTTCTTGCCCAAACACACATTTACAAGACAAAGACAAAACCAACAAAGAATGAAGATACCAGTTAGCAAGAGAGGCTGGGAGTGGATGGAAGAATGATAACTGACCTAGCAAACCAACAAAGTTAAAATCTATATATGTGGCTTAAACGAATAAAGAGACCACTCTTGTCAATAAATCCCAGGAGGGTACAAAAAACTGGAAACCTGCCAGTTGAGTCCTCCTCAAAGTTAAAACTGTTTAGGGTAGTTTAATAGCAATAAAAACTGGAATGATAATAATTTTTTTTTTTTACAAAGTCCAGCACAATAAATTGGGCAGGGAACAAGAGGAAGCAAAAAGATCACATATGTTTGGAAATTTGAGAACACCTGCCATAGAAATGATTTTGAAATTTTCAATAAACAGCCAGTTGCAGTGGGACATACCCGTAATACCAGCAGCTTAGGAGGCTGAGGCAGGAAGATCACAAAGCCAGCCTCAGCACCTTAGCAAGACCCTCTCTCTAAATAAAAAAAAAAAAAAAAAAGAGGCTGGGGATGTGGTTAAGCACACCTAGGTTCAATCCTGATAACCAAAAATAATAATAAAAAGCAAACAAAATGGAATGATTTCCAGTCTATAATGCTATTCCCATTCAAATGATGAATCAAATTTAATGATAGAAATAAAGACATTTTAGATATGTGAGCTCAAGCTATTAGAACTAAGCTCCATCAAAATGAGAAAGCAGAGCAAGGAAGAGGAAGATATGACTTAGAATCTAGGAAATGTCCAAGCTGTGGCAGGAGGACCTTGGAGGGTGGTCTTCCACAGAAAGTGGAGCTAGTATTTTATCTGATGCATATGATTGTGTCACAAGAAGCTTTATTTACTCTTAGGGTAGAGAATTTTGGGTGAAGTTGCAATAGGAACAGAGAAAAACAAGCAAATTTAAAAAATAAGGCAATTATTAACTTTAGGAAAAAAATCAAAAGTTGTACCTCAAAAAAAAAAAGTTCAGCAGCCAGTAGTAAATATGAACTCAGAATGGAGATTTCAGCCAACATGTTACACTGTTACATATTACAGGAAAGGAAATATAGGTATGTGTGAAGGGTATACATTGCAGGGAAGACAGGATGGAGAGCTAACTCCTCTCCCATTATAGGAAATTAACAATGTCTGAAATCAAGATTAAGAAATAACATTAAATATCTGTTGATAAACATGAAATGAATCACTGAAGAAATCCGTAAGAGTAGTGTTGGAATATAGGGATTGCCTGGCAGATCTGGTGAGGTTAGATGGTACTTGTTTCCTCATTGAAATATGTAGGGTCATTATCTAACAATATTGGAGGTTTGAAGAGAACCAGAAGACATGAAATAGTCTTCCAGGATTATAATTGGGAAATATGAGTATCAATTTAAGATTGGTAGTCATAATGTCACCAAGTCTGTTAATACTTTTCTCAAATTCATTCTCTTGTTCCATAGCAGCTGCTAGAACTCAGGCTTACAAACCTGCCTCTCCAACCTGGACAGCTGGAACACTCAGTTCTCAAGATTCCTGACTCATCTTCTCTCTTCCACATGGAACCATCTAAGAGCACAGAAAAACTAGTCACTTCCCTGTCTAATATCCTCTAACAACTGATTCCCAACCACTCAGAATATGGTCTGACCCTGCCTACCTGTTCCTTTCACATGGCCACACAACCAAACTGGTGCCTCTAGGCTTTCTTCATGTCCTCTCAAGTAAACTCTCCCATCTGTCCCAGCTTCCAGTCCAGGAATACCTATCAATGTACATTGTCAAGAGTCCTGTGTATATACACCTACATCTGTTAGCTCTCATGTGAGTGGGTGCTCCTGACAGGCAGGGCTCCTGTGCCTTACCCATCCCTACATAGCTGACACATAGGCACATCAGGGTCTGTGACTTTGCGGTGAGAATTAAGTTACACATGGAAATATAAGCTGCAAACAACTTCAACATTTGCAGGTGGGTGGGTGACAGTCTGAGATCAGGAAACATAAGAATATTTCACTCTGCAAACTGTGTAGGATCTGAGATTCAATTCAGATGGTTTATTTTTTTGCATGATTAATCACATTTTCAACAGTACATCAAGCATCTAAGAATAACATAATTTTGAGTAAAAGCAGAAATTCTTCTGGATGTAACTGCTCTCCACTTAGGCTGCTCAAATGTCCACCATGTCCAGTAGTGCAGAGAGATGGAGCTCAGAGGCAACTTCTTCTTCCCTTGAACTTCGGATCAGTCTTTCCAGATGCTTCAACCGTTCTGTCAGAGATGTACCTGTTGCCTCTGACTGCTGCAATTGCTCCTCTGTCCTTGCATTCTATTGGTATAAAAAAGCAGCTCGGGTTAACGTCATCTGGAGCCCACCACCACCACCTTGGCTAACATGCTTCTAGCCTCTTCCAATACATTCATGGAGCCAGTATCATCTGGAAATACACTGTTTCCCTTTGTATTCTATATGAATAATTTCCAGTGCCATTCATTTTTAATAAGATATCCTCGAGGGTTGTGACAATACATTCACCATATGAAGGTATTGTAACTTGCTTAACCAAACTCTCATCCTTGGACAGTTTGTTTCTACTTTTATGCAGCATAGTCAGCACTACAGCGAACTTTTTTTATACAGTAATTTTTATGAATATTTGGCAGGTTTTTTTTTTTAACGGCAGAATTAGTAAATCAAAAGGTATGAATATTTTTAAAAGTATTTCCCAATCTGATAACTAGAAACAGTATGTCATTTTGTTTTTAGCCCTTGTTAAGGGGCTTTCAAAAGCCTTCAGGAATACACTTTTCACCATCTAACAGCAAGATCTGTGGCTGAACTCTTGTTTCTTTAACCACTGAGGAAAAGATGGTGAAACAGAAAGCCACTAGGATCTGGCTTTGAAAAGTGACTCTGCCTCTAACCAGCTGAACACCCTGGGATGGCTTCTCTGAGCATGCCTTTTTCATTCACTAATTTCCCCAAGGAGAATTAATCCCAGAAGCAAGTCTAGGTGATGCCAAGGTTTAGACAGCATACGATCCCAAAACAGAATCTTCTGTTGTCACCTTTTTCATCAGTGCCCTTACTGCACAAGGGTTATAGGTTTCCTTCAGTTCTTAGGTATGTTTCAGTCCCATTCATTCATTTCACAAGCAGATACTCAATTGGTTGGGTCTCAACATCAGTTTTTCAAAAGTCTAAGATAGTAATTTATTGGCTTTCATGATATCACATGATGAATCAAGATACTACTTTGTTTTCCAGCACCACTCTTGTCTCTAATTCTAGTGTGAATGCCAAATGCACTCTCTTCTCACCTGTGAACTGGTTGTTGTAGGTATTTTTGCCACAGGTTCAATAGTCTGAGGAAGAGACACTAGTGT